CAGAAGAACTTCCAATGAGGTTGCAAGAACTTCAAGATGCTATAAACAAACTTCCATTGAGGCATCCAATCGACGTCAAATTGTATTGGAGAGCATCTGAGTAGGTCAAAGGTTTTATATGAAACAGGTTGCTTTGACGATGTTTATGAGATAACAGGCGAGGTTTCTCAAAAGATAAGAGACTCACTTGAATTTCCACGAACTGGGCCGATTGGATGCGATAAGTTCGACTCATATGAAAAAATATACTATGTCGACCTTAACGCTGCGTAATGAGGTTCGTCCAATATATTCAACTGGAATTCCAAAGAAGATGGTGAGTTCCCGGGAAAGAACTATACAGTTGGAAAAGTCATACAACAACTGTATGATATTAGGAAAGCTTCAAACCCCAAACTTGCAATGACACTCAAATTGCTTATGAATTCGACATGGGGATATTCTATTAAAAACCTCAAAAGATGAAGAGTAAACACTATGAGAAGGTCGACAACTGTTTGAAAGGTTCTCCCCTTTTGTTTTGAAATACGAATTTACTCAAGGTCAAAATGGCTTAGTAACCACAGTAAAACCTATTGTCGAGCATTGGTCCTATCCTCAGTTCGCAAAGGCAGTCCTCGACAACTACAACAAATTCTTCTCGGAAGTTAAATCCAAAGTGAAGGTATACTATGAGAACATCGATGCACTCATGACGAACGAAGAAGGCTATAACAAACTCATTGAAATGGGTTTAGTCGGTGAAAAGATGGGCCTTTTTAAGCTAGACAAGGTATTTTCCGAAGTTCATGTTCTCTCCAAACGTAAGTACTGGGCCGTACTTGAAGACGGCACAGAAATAAAACATTGCATGAAATAAAAAATTGCATACCATTTTAAAACGTTTTTAAAACAGTATATTTTTACATATATAAAATGCTTCAGGTTGAAAAACAAAGAACAAAAGTAGCAGATACAAAACCGTTAGACTATATCTTTACAAACGCTGGCAGAAATATTTCAGATGAAGAAATTTCATCCCGCACATATAGATTTGACTATCCAATTCGCTGGCTTCAAAGTCCTTCAGATGCAAAGGCAATAGGATTTAGAAGAGTTTTGTTTTCAAATAGAACTAATGCGTTTATGTTCGCAGTATATTTTCACGGTCAGTATAAAGGCTCTGATGGTCTAATAGAAAAATTTGATGAAATGAAAATCTTTACAATTCGTTCAGACGAAAGTCTTGAAAAAACTCTAAATGACTTTCAAACTCAAATAAACAAATACTACTGGGAATTTCAAGAAAAATACCACTCTTTACTAAATGGAACATACTATCTGAAGCTAGAATACGACAAGATGAACTCCACAGTTTCATTTCAAAAGATTGAAATTAACCCTCCAAGAGATACAGAGTTTTTATATTGGGGGGTGGACAAACGTTCTTGGGCGCAATTTCTTCGGTTACTAAACCAGAACGAACCATTACCACCAGATGGTCCATTTAAATTTATACTCCCACCAACAGATTTGACAGTTTATAGAAACGTGTTTGACCCTCAAAATGTCATGTGTCATGCAAGTTTCAGTTCAAGCAACAACAGTTTTCTATGTATCGGTAAGGACTTTTATGACTTTGCTTCTAAATTCTACGAACCACCTAGTAACAGTTTCTCTGACTTTCAAGTTTGGTTCACAACAAACGGTGTGCAGCATATTATTCCATTGTACTATGACTTTTATCTCGAATTGTCTTTCATATACAACTACGGAAAAGTGCTGAAAAAGTATTGAAAAATATATTTTAGGGTAGATGGTTTTTAGGTGTCACCAGGTCCCTCGGTCCCTCGGTCCCTCGGTCATTTTAACTTCTCTGAAAAAGTGTGACAACATGACATTTTGACAACAACACAGGAGATAGATTTCATCGTATATGTTTTGTCATGAATTTCATCGTAAATGAGCGTAAATGACCCAAAAATATATTTTAGGTGAAGTGGTGAGATCTCACCTCTTTTCTCACCTGTTTTTTCACCCGTTGAATTTTGTATAAAAAGCAACCGTCGACATTCTGGCGGTTGGTATATTCTTCACAAAATGCTTGTTTTGAGGTCGAGCCACTTTTGGCTCCACCTGTTTTTTCAACCAAAACTCATTTTTTTTCGGCAAAAATATATTTTATGTTAGATGGTGAGATCTCAGAACTAGTCTTGCACTGTTTCAGAACAAGACTTGTACTGTTTCAAGACAATGTCCGATGGTTAAGCCACAAACGAATGTCCGACGTACCACCAAAAAATATATTTTAGGTGAAGTGGTGAGATCTCACCTGTTTTCTCACCTCTTTTCTCACCCGTTGAATTTTCATGAATTTCCTTAAGATAAAAAATATATTTTAGTTTTTTATAAAATATTTTTTTTATTTTTATTGTAAGAACATGTTAGCAACAACTTCACCAAACTCGTTAGTCATGAACCCAACTTCAATGTTAGTAGAGATGAAAAGCTTCATTCCTTCTTCATATACTTTCGAAACAACAATCCAGAAGATAAAGCAGGAACTTCTCCAAGGAGATTTAGACTGTAGTGCGAAAGATGAAACAAATGAAGAATATCTTTATGAAATGCAGGATATTATTGACCATCTAGCTAAACTTCCTGAAATACAACAACAAAAGCTTACTATTCCTGAATTTGAAGAAATTGAAGTCAAAGCAACTGACTCAGTAGAAACCAAGAAGTTCATACGTAAGGTAAACTATGAGTTTCTTGGATTTCATTGCAACCACAAAGTTATGGACAAAGATTGCGATATGTTATATAAGAACATCTCTGACATATACAAATCTGAAGAATTTAAGACCTACGACAACTTTGTTTCGTTAGTTGCAAAATGTGTATGGCAGATAAGAGATAAAGATAGAAGAGGTAAAGTATGGAACCAACAGATAAAACCAGCAACCTTTGAGTTAAAGAAAACCATTGACGCCTTAGTCATACTGCAGGTAAGGTTTTCAGAATATAACGCAAAAATGAACCCACAATGTTCAAAATGTAAAGCAGCAATGAGGAAATATAACTACTCCGTCAAAGAGATAGAACGTATGCGAAACGACTATGCTGACTTAAAGAAAGAAGTAGAGAAACCAGCAGAAGATAAAATGGACATGTTGAATTTCTGACAAAAACTATCCAACTGCTGACGATTTCCTTCTTTCAGATGTCAAGAAGAAATATAAAGAAACCTTCGGCATTGTTAAAACATTCGATATCCTCAGCGAAGAAATAGAAGCTACAAAACTGTTTAGGATTTCAAATATACATCGTACAATTCATGTAAGACGCTTGTGAAAAAGAGGTGAGAAAAGAGGTGAGAAAACAGGTGAGATCTCACCTCTTCACCTAAAATATATTTTTATTGAATTCTGAGTAAAATGACATATGGAACACGTACTTTTTCAGTAAGGACATATGGGGTGAGAAAAGAGGTGAGAAAACAGGTGAGATCTCACCTCTTCACCTAAAATATATTTTTGTCTGATTTACACTCATTGACGATGAAATTCATGACAAAACATTTACGATGAAGTATATTTCCTGTGTTGTTGTCAAAATGTCATGTTGTCACACTTTTTCAGAGAAGTTCATTTGACCGAGGGACCGAGGGACCGAGGGACCTGGTGAGATCTAAAATATATTTTTGCTGAAAAAAATGACCAAATTTCATGAATTTCCTCATATGTTTGCTACCCTAGGAAAATCGAGGAACGAGATTCCGTACGAAAATCGTAAAAAAACTCTATGAAAATCGTGAAAAAATGCTACCCCGACTTTTACAGGGGTTGCCTAAAACTCATGAAAATCGTAAAAAAATGCGAGTACGTTAAAAATCTTACTCGCCTAAAACTCATGAAAATCGCAAAAAAACACATGAAAATCGTGAAAAAATGCGAGCAGGGGAAAAACCCTGGTCGCCAAAACTCTATGAAAATCGTAAAAAAACTCTATGAAATCATATCTTTTATACAAGATAGAAAAAATAAAATTAACGCTAGTTTTTTTAAAATATTTTTTTTTATTTTGTATGTAAGAACAGGAAATGACAAGCACTGAGTTTGAAACAGTTAAAAAGATAGACAATGAGACCAAAATAGTTAGAATTGGTGATTTAAACGTAAGATACTCAAAGAAATACAAAAAATATTCTTTGTCAGACATTTTAACACTATCCGGAAAGAGAGCAAGCGACTGGGTTAGAAATGCTTCTACTCAGAAAATTTTGACAAGAAATCCTGAGCTGATGATATCGGTAAGATTCTATGGAACAAGAGCATATCTTATAGACAAAAGTCTTATACCAGTAGTTTTGTTCTGGATTGACCCAGTTGTTGGATATAATTTCATAACATATGGTTCATTCGATACGGAACGTTGCAGTGAAGGCTTAGTTTACATCGTTCAGAAACCGAAGGACTTCAATACAAAGAGATATAAGATAGGAAGAACATTTAATATAACTCAAAGATATGACAGTATAGTCAATAGAGTTAAGGTTGCGTTTGTTAACGATATGAGAGCTGCTGAAACAGAACTACTTGAAAAGTTTGAGAAAATGTATGGTGCTCCCACGAGAGGTAAAGAAACGTTTGAAGTAGATGAGATAGCTAAAGCTATAAAATTATTTGACGAAGTTGCTGAAAAATACATGTAAAGCGTTTATTTTTGGTCTTTTATACAAGATAGAAAATAACGCTAATTTTATTTTTTTTTATTTTTTTATTTTGTATGTAAAGACAGATATGACAACATCAGAGAACACAACAACTGCTATCGTTCATGAAGATATAAATGAAGAATACGAGTGGGTTCAGTATAACAAACAGTTACGTCTCATTCGTTCGGTCAAAGATGACATGTACCAAATGCAAAGTATTTTGAATGCTCTTCGTTCTACAAAGCAAGCACGTCATTGGTTTGAAAACCAACAGACAAAAGAACTTTTAGAAGAATTTCCTCATATGTTTGCGACCGGTAGAAAACCGCGGGTCGAGATTCCGTACGAAAATCGTCAAAATTTGCCAAATGGTTTGAGAGGTTGGTATGTACATAGACTTCTTGTAAATGCTGTTGCAATGTGGGCTTCACCTCGCTATGCTTGTTATATTTTCATGATGTTAGATGAACTTCATAGACAAGAACGTGAAGAGCTAGAGAACAAGCTTGAAGCAAAAGACAAAAACATACAGAAAAGAATACCACGTTCGGTACCAAAAGGAAAGGAAAAGAACTATAAGTATATGATTTACACTGAAGAGATGGAAAATGAAGAAGACAGAGATATGGTTATGTTGCATTTAGTCAGAAGAAACAACAAAAGCTTTTACGACTTAGCTAAGATTTACAAATCTGACAGAAATTGGTTCTATCGCGAAAACTTACCGATTTCAATGACACCGAATGAAGATGTTAAACAGATAGTTCAAGATACGTTACCTCAAACACACTATGATATGAAAGGTTGTACAATACTTACATTCAAAGAAGACTTACCGCTACTGAAGGAAAAGATAACAGAGTATTTTGACAACTTCAAAGAGGAAGAGTAAATGAACCATTTATTTTTCAAGCTTGACACCAAAGATGGCTCAGGTAGCTCTAGATGGTAAATTGTCTTGTCCGAGTCCTTCTGGCATTCCGAGTCCTTCCTTCCAACAGGAAAAAAATTTCCTTCCAACAGGAAAAGTTTTTCCTTCCAACAGGAAAAAATTTTCCTTCCAACAGGAAAAAATTTTCCTTCCAACAGGAAAAAATTTTCCTTCCAACAGGAAAAAATTTTCCTTCCAACAGGAAAAAATTTTCCTTCCGACAGGAAAAATTTTTCCAGTTGTCCGTCCGTAAACCATTCAAATTTTCGAAAATTGAGAACTTTTTGGCCGACCTTCAGGAAAAATTTTTCTTTCCGACAGGAAAAATTTTTCTTTCCGACAGGAAAAGTTTTTTTCCGACAGGAAAGTTTTTCTTTCCGACAGGAAAAGTCCTTCCTTCCGACAGGAAAAGTTTTTCTTTCCGACAGGAAAAGTCCTTCCATCCGACAGGACACAAACGGATGGCTGACGTACCACCAACCGAGTCCATTCCAAAGCCAGAAGAACCGACAGCCCAGCCCAACAGACTAAGACTCAAACACTTACATTTTTACGCTTGACTTTTTACAATTTGAACTTTGTTTGCGTAGATGTGAATTCTGAAAGAAGTATGAGGGTCTTGTATGACTTTGTACTTCTCCCATAGTTCATGTCTGTCAAACTTACCTGCCATGGACTCTTTCATAAGTTCCATGAAATCGTCTTCGGACAATCCGGGGAAAAGTATGATATCAGTAAGTATTCTCTTTACATCCTTACTTAAACTCTTGGCTGTCTGTACACAAATGACAACTGAAATGTTAAAGTGTCTGAGCTTCTTAAGAATTCGACACATGTCTTGTTCTCTGTTCTTTAACAAAGGATGAGAAGCAAAGTCATCTAAGATAAGAAGACATCTGTGAGGGTAAGTCTTCCAATCGTAAGATTGCAATTTCTTCGAAATGTACTCAATCTCTTTCTGTTTGTTTCTGAAGTGTTTCTTCTCTAATATTCTCTGCATTTCCTCATTTGGGTCTTTAAACTTCGAGTTTATATACTCATTTATAGCATTGTACTTCAAAACTCTTCTTTGGTACTTCTTTATCCAATCTAACAACTCAGAGTCTTTTATACATACTAACTTAGACTTTTTTATAATATCTTTGAACGAATTTACGGTTTGGTCAAATTGACCCGAAGTACTGCAAATGACTACTAACTCATAGAATGGGTTCTTCTCATCTAGTTCTTGTTGTTGTGCAGCCATTTTAAGATAAGTGAAAGTCTTACCCGACCCAGGTGGTGCAATTAGACCTGTTATACCATTCTGAGCAAATAAGAACTTGTCATGTATGGGTTTTATCTGAGCATTTTCCAACTTCCTCTTGTTCTTGTTTAAAACATTCTCAAATTTCTTGTCAATGTCAGCAAACTTTTTTTCTAACATATTTTTAGAAAAATTAAATTTTTATCTTTTAGGAAATGTCTAGCGATTTCGCTATCTATATTCGAGACAAGCTTTTCGACAGCAAAACATCTGTCGACCATAAAATCTTACATAGTGTAAACAAGAAAGGGGAATTTGTTCTAAAGTTCTGTTTCTGGGAATATGACAAGAACCATAAAACCTTAAGCAGAGAAGTCTTAAAATTTGTCAATGACAGACTTGTTGACAGAGATGACGCCTCTTGGAGAGATGAAGTCCAACAAAACTTCTTAGAATGCAAAGAAGACACATGCGCTGTTCTTGAAGATGAAATAGAAAACAGAATAGAAGAGCTATTAAAGGACAAAGAACTTTTACAAAAATATGGTTCTGAGAAGTTTGACATAACTCCACCAGAGAAGAAGAAGAGAGAAAAGAAAGAAAAGAAAGTAGAAGAAGAGAAGAAAGAACCAGAGCCAGAGAAAAAGAAATTTGACATGTAAAAATAAAATTTTATTTTTAGAACATTTCTGGGTCAATGTCAATGTTCTCTTCCTCTTTAGGAGCAAACACCGGCTTAGACTCTAAAATCTTTTTACCCAATTTACCTTGAACTTCTACAACTTTAGACTCATAATATTCATAGTCGTCTGCTTTCTTTGGTTCATAAGGTATAACAAGTTTGTATGCTTTGCCTTCTTTAAGGTTTGAGAACCTTCTGTCAAAACTTTCTTTGACTGTTAACAAACCTTCTATGTCTAAGTCTTCAAATTTCGCACCATTTTTAGTCACAATAGCAAACTTAACTGGTTCGATGTTCCAAACTTTGTCAAATGTAGACTTTTCAAAATGGTAGAAGTAAACATTCAAATATGTGAATGGGTCTAGTTCTTCTTTAAGTCCTGACATGTACTTGTTGACTGAGATGAATTTTGTCATCTTTCTATCGGATAAAAAAAATATTTTTTTTTTAAAATTTACTCAGAAAAATTTTTCTTTGTATATACACCATTCTGTACGTCTAAAAAGACTTTTGACATTTGCCAAGAATGTTCGTTTAGACGCTGTCATATAACCATACTCTTGACAATACTGTTTATACGAATCGTACAATGACCTTTCATCTAAACACTCAAAGTCAGTTTCATCTATGAACAGTTCATATACACTCTTGTTTGCTTCTAACAATGTTTGTCTCTCTTCGGTATGTGGAATTTGTCTTGGATTGAACTTAGAAATATCTAATGTCATGAAATATGAGAACAAGTGGTTGTAAAAGTTAGGTGTTAAAGTTTCTGCTAAGTCGTCAAAATATTCTGTATCTTGCATATGAGCTTCTGACGTTCTGACAACTACATATCTTCTGTCAGAACTTTCTAACTTCATCGGAACGGCGTTGTTTGAAACCATGATGAAATTTGCAACATTTTCACAAACTCTTTGGTCTCTATACTTTCTTTCAACAACTCCAACTTTGTCTGTTATAAGACTCTTCAAAGCATCCGAGTTTAAAACCTTTGTTGTATCTATACTTTGAAGTTCGTTACATACTATAAGTTTCATATTCTCTATTGAAGAGTTAAATTTACCGCAGATGTTTTCTAAGTTTGTCATATTCGGATTCGAATAGCCCTCTAACAGTTTGCATAAGATATCTGTAAAGAAAGTGTTCTTACCTGTTCCTTGTTTTCCAATTATGATGAGAGCAGTTTCATTTTTAGCACTTGGATGTTGTAAGATGTTTGCAAACCAACATAAGATATACTCATAGACTCTTTCGTTTCCATTGCATATAATTTCTTTGACATGGTCTAACCAAGCTTCTATAACATTTTCTTTCCATTCTACTTGTTCGTATTTATATCCAGTGAAGATAGAATAGAAGTTTGGAGATGGTGTATAGAACTTTTACCACGAACTGAAAAATCATCTAACTTTGACAATAAGATATCCAAGCATCTAACATCTTCATACCAACTTGTACGACTTTTATTTTCTTAAGTTTCTGTTTACATTCTTGTTCTGAAACTATTGTTGCTCTTGGTTTGTTAAAGACTACATCCCATTCTTTCATGACATAACATTCTGGGCAGAGTCGACATAAATGACTAAACGTTTCAAATTCTCGACTGCTTTGTTATAGTCTCTAAATGGACACATATTTCTGAACGCTTGGAAGTCATAAAAATCTGAAACGTCTATTCTGTACATTTTTTTATAAAAATAAAAAAAAATATTTTTTTTATTCTTGAGCTATTTGTTGTTCTTGACTTTGTTGTTGCATTTGTTGTTCTTGAGCTATTTGTTGTTGAAGTTGTTCTTGAGCTATTTGTTGTTGAAGTTGTTCTTGTAATACAATACTTTCACCAGTTGCATCTTCCAATTCGAAACTTTCTGCCGTCATTGACAAATACATAGGACATAAAAGTTTTACAGGAACAAAGTTTGCGTCAACTAAGGTTAAGTTTATGTTTGCTAAAGTGTTTGAGTTTACTAAAGCTGAAAACTCTGCATTCGAATGAACAATAGGCAAACCAGCAGAGAAAGTGTTGTTTATACGCATGAGTATCTTTTGGTCATAGTAGTTTCTGTCGACATTCGAATAGCACTTTGAACCTAAGTTTGAAACAATATATAAAATAGGTGTACTTAAAGTCAATGGAACAGATAGACCTTGTATGACACCTTTTCCTGTTATAGGAAACTGTTGGTAGTAAAAACCAGATATAAGTTTTGTATTATAGCTCATATCGTTTATACTAAACTCAGTCGGACATCCAAACATAATGAAACCTGCTCTAGTTGCAGCAATGTTACATCCGTCCTTAAAGTATTAAATAAGTCAACAAAACCTGTTGGTGGTATATCTGAGTAAGTATCTTCAAAGGAGTATTTTTTACCATTCACAACAACAAAGTCTTCTGGTGTCAAAAGAGCAAAACAGGCTTTAGTCGTCATTGTGTTTAAGGTTAGTTTACAATATCGTCCTTGAGGACTTTGTAAGTTTGTTGTTATAGAATTATATGACTCAGGGTTTTTAGTCGTAATAGTATAAACCACTATGTCTTCTGCCATTTACATATATTTAAAAGTTTTTCTGAAAGTGGAGAAGAACTTCATCTAAACTTTCACATGGCGTTTCTTGAAGTTCTCTGTCTAAGAAGTTCAAATATTTTGTAAAGACATAGAACTTTCCTTTGTCTACACGAACAAACAAAACAGGGTCTTTCATATCGTTCAAAAGTGTGTAAAGTCCTTTACATGAAATAAAGTCTATATTGTTTTTCTTCAAACATCTTTCAAGAAGTTTTGACATTTTTACTTAGCAAACAAACTTTAATGAAATGTTGTGGTCGTCAAATATTTTTATGACGTCTGGGAAACTATATTTTAAGTTCAACGTTTCACCTCCTTTCATAACGTATATCTTGTCAATGACATTGTATGAAACACCACAGCAAGCAATGTCGGGTTCTATTTCTTTGATGTTTATATCGTCTGCCTCTGTCAAAAGTTTCAATAGTTCTTTCAAAACTTCATGAGGTGCGATGACATACGAGTTCACTTTTACAGGGTTGTGCTCAACCAAGTTTAACATTATACCCAAAGCTTGACAAATCTTCTCCTGAGTTTTAAGTTTGTCTTTAAGTTGTTGGTAGTCGTTTCGAATATCTGCAACAGAACTTAAGTCTCTGCTAACTTCAGGATATGTTGGTTGTTCTTTTACAGGAACTATTGTTATACCATCTTCGTCTTCGTATGGTTTCCCCACTTCAACATCTCTTTCTTTGACATTGACAACAACACTTTGACTGTTTGTTTGAGTTGGTGAATTTAACTTCACATCTGCCATCGCCATTAAACCTTTTGAAACACTTACGCTTCTATTTTTCGGAAATGACATTTTACTTAGAATAAAAAGATGGACGTATTTGAGTATCTCTTCGAATTGAAGCAAAACAAAGTTTACACACACAAACAATACAAGTTCATTGACAGAGTAGTTCTTTACACAAACAATGGAAAATGTTATAGAATAGCAGTCTTTGCTGAACCAAAATATTTTCATAAAGCAAAGAAAGTTGGTATAACCGAGATGGTGAAAGTTCTTGACGTTGACAAAAATATAACAACAAAACTGACCGATATTTCTAAAGGTAAGTTTATAATACAATATTATATCAAAACTGGCGTACTGTCAATATTTGACGGAGAGAAGTCAGTTCAAGAACAACTTACTGACCTGCTGCCAAAATCTGCTCGATGGAAGCTGTCGTTATGCCAATCTGAGGAGCCCCAGCAGGTTTCATCGAACGAATTTTCAAAAGAGCATCTTCCGTGAAAAGTGCTATTGGTTTTGTAAACTTCTTTGCTTTCAATTCATCTGGACCGTCTCTGTCACCAGTATATTGTATTTGAACTGTACCAACAGTTGAAATACCACCCATAAAGTCTTCTGAGTCAGCAAATGGAATGCCAAGCCAAAAGTTTGAACGGTCTCCATTTGTATATTGAGTGTTTTGACCTCCTGTATGAGTCCATACTTTCACATATGGCATAATAGAACTTTGCATTTCAGGGTTAATGGTTGTTGTGAAGTTGTTGTTAAAGTTCATAGCATCTAATGTCAAGTTGTATGACCTCATATCCTCAACTGTAGAATATTCTTCTCTTGGATAGTATTTGCCATCTATGTTTATATGGTATTTAATACCAGGGTTGTAGAAGCAAGAATAGTCATTTATAGTTCGTCTGAACAGTACAAACATAGTATCTGCATGTTTCATTGCAGTTGTTAAGGCAATATCTGTTCTTGCACCTGGGTCAGCACTTTGGTTTCCAACTTCACCTGCAAAGTCTTTGACAGATATTTGGTGTATAGGGAACATAAGCGGAACTGCAATATATTTGGCAGCTAAAGCATTTGAAATATCTGGGTCCAACATATAGACTGCAAGTCTGCTTTCTATTCTCTTGCATTCAAACTTTTCGCATGTGAACTTAACTGGGTCCCAAGCAGTTCCAGCAGCATTGAAATAATAGTTTACTTCAGTGTTGAGGTTTGAGAAACCAAAGTCTAAGTCAACTTTGTCTTTGCAAAAGTCGGCGAATGACGTTTGATTTGCTCCCTTTACGTCTGTAAGAGTGAATGGGTCTTGTGTTGGTGCAATGACTAAGTTATTTTTGCTTGGAGTAAGTTCGATAGAAATTTTTCCTGCCCAGTTTGGCAAGTATCTTAAAAACCTGAAGATGAGGAAAGATGACAAAGGAACTCTAAGTTTCAGTTTTACTTTGGTTACTGCTGCTGCAGTTTGTCCAGAAAGGTCAACATAAACTCCTGGAACGTTAGGGTCAAGTCTTCTTATTTTCTCAATAGTTGCATACTGGTCTGTTTGTTCTCTAGCTTGTGGTTGTACTGAGTTTCTCAAAGCGAACCATTCATAGTTTGCCCATGTTACTGTTTGAACTAAGTCAGAGTTAGAATATATCTTATATCCCATGAAAACTTCTGGAGCATATTGGTATCCGACATAGAAAATTCCATTGCAACCTTTCTTGTCAGACAACTTGGCAGAAGGTTTTATTTCAATGTCTTGTTCCACGTATAAGAAAGAGTTGTCAATAGAAATTATATGAAACCTGTCGCAAGCAATATCTACTGTTGTTGAAGAACCTTCTCCAAACTCACCTACGTTTCCATAAGAAACAGCAGTTGTATATTCGTAAGTTCCAGGAACTATTTCTGACCTTCTAATGGCATTGTCGCATTCGTTATACCATTCGGAAACATTTCCATTCATGGCATCCAAAACTGTTGGCGTTATATTCTGAGCGGCGTACATTTCATATGGGTAAAAATATAGAATAGTTGGATTTATATGTCATAATAGAACCCACTCCGACCAAGCTTTACTTTCTTCCTGACTGAGTTTTTAACTCTTCTTTTTCCTTCATTGCCACTACTTTCACTAGATGAAGTTACTTCTTCACTACTTTCACTTTGTTCTACTCTTCTTCTTTGGTGTCGCTTTGGTAACTTGCCCTCTGCTTGAAGTTGTTGCATCTTTGCATTATGTTCATCTAGTATGTTGCAAATTTCCCATGTCCTTTTTGCCTTTGGGCTCTGGTCGCCCATCTCAGGTAACCTATATCCTAGAAAGAGTTTGTCATAGTTTGTATTTGAGTCGTTGCGTATTGTTTGCATGACTCTTTCCTGAGTTTCCGGTTCAAGCTCTTCAAAAGTGCCTGTCCATATGGAATAAGCTCGTTTCCAAATATATGTTTTTGTAGCCATTCTGGTTTTCTTTCCATGTTACCAACTATATCTTTTGTGAATGGGAAAGCTTTTACCCAATCTTTCAGTCTTGCGTCGTTTATTTCTGTAGTTGGTTTTATTTTGTCAAGGAACATGTTTTTCAATACTAACATTTCATTTGGTACTGTCCATTTGAGTTTTCTTAAATATTCATCCCTTCTCGGTTCATTGTCTGCAAAGTAAGTTTTTATGACATTTTGTAAACTTTCATTTGCAAGGTCATGTACAATAGGTTCTCTTCCTTCTCTGTCCATAACTTTCTTTCTAAACTCTTCACCAAATATACCATCTTTATGGTTCTGTGTAGTTCTTTGAGATAAATGTTCTAGAACGTCAGGTGTTATATTTCCATCAGCCATGTTCATTTCATACTGGTTCAAAATATCTGCATGTTTCATATCTTTCAATGGCATTAAAGCCGCGCTTAAAATACCAGCTATATCTCGTTCACCATTCAATTCCATTGCGTCTACAACTTCTTGGAATTGTGGTTGTAAGTTTATGAACCACCTATCCGGATTAGCTTTATGACCCCATCTCATTGTAGTTCCATCGTCTGCAGAAACAAAAGTAGGTTTGTTTCCATCTTGGTTAGGTTCTGAATGAACTTTAAACAATGTTTCATTTCTATATGTTTTCTTGAAATTTAACCTTTTATTTTCACCGAGTTCATCCAAAGATTGAACGTTAAATGCTCGTAAGTAAAAAGGGTTGTTGTATTTGTGTACATTTTCTTTCAGTACTTCCATTCTATGCTGAATATTTTCATCTGGTGTTGGAGTCTTTTGTATGTCGGCAAACATTTTTCGATATTCTTCTACTGTGTCAGCCGAATTTTTTTTAGACTCTTGGAAATATTCCATATTCTTCGCATACTCTTGTTGAGGGTCAAGATTTTTCGGCTGTTCCAAATCTTCATCTAGTTCTGTGAAGTTAGTTTCCAAAGGAGGGACTTGTTCGTTTCCTTCAGGCTCTTCTAGCTGTTGTTGCTGAACTATTTCTTCCATGTCTGGTTGTATCTGAACTTCTTCCTGTGGAGTTTCTTGTACCTCATCTGCTGGCATTTCATATATTCCGAGACCGTTTTCAACAATTTCCCTATCTAAGTCATCCGGACTCATAAACCTTTCTTCTTTCGTTCCGTCTCTATTTTTTACGCGTTTCATGACGGGAGTTGAATTGTCATTTAGCTCTGACATCAAATATCTCGGAGTAAATTCAGTCATGTCATTTGGATGATATGCTATTAAATCATATCCCTTAGCGAGCTTGTATTTTCCAGGTTTGAATTTATATCCGTTTTGGTGCTGAGCCATAAAGCTAAATAGGTCCGGGTCAGTATTTCCATCCTTGAACTTTCTAATAGCTTCTTTATATCTGTCACTAAAGTCAATACTATCTGGGTAACCATAGTCTTCCTTAAGCCTTTTTAAGAATTCTTGGTTTCCTTGTTCTCTACTTCTTTTATGTCCTTGCTCTGGTTGTGGAGGTGGTTGTTGTGCAGGGTTTTGAACTGTTGGTTGTGCTGGATTTTGAACTGTTGGTTGTTGTGTTGGTTGTTGTTGTTGTTGTTGTTGTGCAGGGTTTTGAACTGTTGGTTGTTGTGTTGGTTTTGGTGCATGCCTGTGTCTGTGTCCATGTGACGATGTAAATGTTCTAGGTAGTCCTGGTGCAGGTGCTTCTCTTGGAGGGTTTGGTGGTATATAAGTTCCACCAGCTGGCACATATGTTCCATCTGCAGCGTAATGTCCTACCTGACTTTTCGTTCTTAAGAAAGCATTTACTAGGTCTGTTTTGGTCTGTTGTAACTCTTTTTCTTGACTTTTCACAACAGTTGCTCTAACGGCGTCATAGGCACTTTGAACTGCCTGTCTCGTTGCTGCATCTGTTATTTTCGTCATATTTTGTGCTACTTCTTTTAACTCTTTGTCGAAACCTTCAGACTTCAGTTTCTTTCCAGATGAGAAGTCGTTCACTTGTTTCACCTTACTATGAAGAGCTTCGAAAGCGTTCTTAAAGTCAGCATTTGTTAAAGCTTCATTTGAACTATCTTCATCCGCTTGTATTTTTGTCCTTATTGACCCTATGAGTTGGGCTGCTTTAGCGTTGGCTTGGGCATCTAACCAGTCATTGTTAGCTTTTATATATTCTGCGCTTTTCATTGCCTTTTGCATAGCCGCGTCGTTATTTTTACTTTCTTGTGCTAAGTTTTCATACTGTACGGTTTGGTTTTGCAACTGTAAAAGTTTTTCTGCCTTTACATTTGCTTCAACTTCCTTTTTATACTCATCGCTATCCATATATGTCTTCAGGGCTTTTTGTTTTATCTCTTCATCTTTCAGTATTTTATATTGAGTAGTATGGTTTTTCAAATTTATGACATCTTGTTCCATTTTTGCTACTTCTGCTGCTTTTTCTGACACTTTTTTCGCATATTCCTCTGTACTTAGTTCTTTCAGTTGTTCTTCTTTCTTCTTTTTCTCTACGTTTAACTCATTGAGTTTCTTTGTGTGTCTGTCATATTCTAGTTTCTTTTCGTTTTCACTTATTTGCTTCTGTATGTCTATGTTTGACTTTTTGACATCTGTTATTTGATTTTTGAGTGAACTCAAATTCATTTGACTTTGAGGGTTATATGCTGTTCCGTCTGCAGCTCCACCATAGCCTGCCATTTTCGCTAAAAGTGCCGCTCTTAAACCTCCACTCTGTGCACCAACAACTCGGTTTAAAAGCATAGGATTGCTTGACATTTGTTGCAACATAGTGGGGTCATTCAGCATTTGTTGTTGCAACTGTTGTTGTGGTGTTAGTCTTACTATTGGATGTTTCAATGCTCTCTTCCTCTTACGTATATTCTTACGTAGCTTACGTGGCATTTAAGTGAAGTTAAAAAGCGGTTTTATACTAAACATCTTCGGGGCTAGAGGGCACGAAGTGCCTGGAAGCCCCAATGTTGCATGCTAAGTTCGGTCAACGATAGAAATTGAGTGGAAATTAATCGTCGAGGAAGTACGATTATGTAAAGTCAAAAAATGTTGTGGGATTTTTAATATTATATATTATTTTATAATAAATTTTTTTGAGTCATTTTAAGAAGCACATATAATTTTTTGAATTTAAAAATTAAAGTAGTGTCAAACGAATTTATCACTTAATTTAATACTCAGATTTCTTAAAATTAATGAAAAAAAGGTTTTCTGAGAACTTTTGAGAATGGTTTTCAAATTCCATTATTGAAAATATATAGGTATTGTATGAAATTCAAGCTCTATATTTATTAAAATTCTAAATTTTTAATAAAATAACTTTTCAGAGGAATATGATTTTGAATGGTTGATTAATAAGTATAAAAATGTCTACGATTTTAAGGAGGGAATTGTTCCTTATGAGGTATACATCATAACTATATACCTCATAAGGAACAATTCCCTCTTGATAGCTGGGAAACTTTCTCTGAATAACTTATCATTTGGAGAAAGTTTCCCAGCTATCTATTAGAAACTAAAGGCTGTGGGCACTAATATATAATCAGTGCCTCATAGCCTTTAGTTTCTTATTAAAAACGAGAAAACTTGTTCGAAATGATAAACAATTTCGAACAAGTTTTCTCGTTTTAAGGAGGGAATTGTTCCTTATGAGGTATACATCATAACTATATACCTCATAAGGAACAATTCCCTCTTGATATACTGGATATTTTTGAATATATTTTTTTAATTAAAGTTCTCAAAAGTATTATCAAAAGTGATTTTTAAAAAATATCTCCAATTAATTAACTAATTAAAAGTATTATATTTTTAAAATTAAATAGTTTTTCAATTTTTTTGAAGGAATTGAGATACTTTCCACGACAATAAAATTGAGAGGTTTACATTATGACTGATCTTAGCATGCAACACCAATGCCTTTTTTTTTTTTTTTTTTTAATGTCCTTATTATTTTTTTGAAATCTGAAATAAAAAACTGACAAATTACATAAAAAAAATTCATTATTTTTCAAAAAAATGGATTCATCAAACATTCAGATACGTGTTAATGAACTCCTTCGTTTCATTACAAAGAATCCTAATGAAAATCTTGCACCCTCATACATTGAACTCACACAGTTCGCTAAGGAACTTCCAGAATACATTTTAACAAATTTAGCTCAAACAATGTTAGGTTCTTTAGCAGATCAGAGAACCACGTCAGTTCTTTATACTCCAATTCTTGAATTGATGTATCAAACACTTATGTTTAATCATAAAGGAGTTCAATTTTTGTTTGATTTGCCAAGCGTTCTTAAAATCCTTTTCCCATTTTGCAAATATCCAAAGACAAAGGCAGTTGATATTCTTTTAATGCTTTTCCTCCACGATCCACAGAGATTTTGTGATTTTATTGCAAATCCACCTCATTCAATTGTAATTCTTCGTGAAGCAACATCCATACAAAAGAGCAGACGTGCAGGTGAGTTATTACTCCGTATTTTCTGCTTAAATACCACTTTAATGCAAAATTTAATACCCGAAATTCGGCCTTCTCTTCGCGAACTTACAGCTCATTGTGCAATAGGCATGATGCTTTCATCAGCTGAGATGCAACAGAACATTCCTGAAGAAGAATTCGCAGATTGGTTCTTATCAAAATCTCCTGTCACTCATTACGACGTTAAATCAGCCACATTACTCTACCCAGCATTCTGGTTGAATCCAGTGGTCCTCCGCTTCCTTTGCCATGCAGAAGCTCCAGAAAAACTCGAATATGTTGAATGGCTCAGCGCCCAACCAAAACAGCCGTTCCTAGATGTAGACAAAACGGTTGTTTCGACGGTTTGCAACCAACTTACGAAACCTCCGACCTTTACAAACGAAGATGGCGTTGATTTATCAAAAGAAGGCTTCATCTTCTTCAGATACTTCATTTTATCACATACATCGCCAGACAAAGTCATCCCAGAGGTTATTAACATGATAATGAACGATGCAAAGAGCAAAAACGAATTTCTCGCGGCTGCAGCTTTACAGGTTTTAACGATATGGGCAATCAAATACAATTTCGAACCAAAACCATTCGTTGTTATGAACGTCGCTACTACTTCTCTTGATGAAGAAATTCCAAATAATTTCAGAAGAATTTGCGCAATTTCGACCATTGCTTTCAGCCAAACATCGAAGATAGCGAGATCTCTTGTAATGAGTGGCGAAATCAAGGCAGAACCAACAGATATGAGAACAATTGCAAGAACAAAGTGGAGATTTCCGAACTTCCATGAAATTCTCGAAAAAGTCATGAGAATAAAGGTTGTACAGCTTGACAATTTAGTTGCAGCTCTCGGACAATTCACTTTGGCACTCAACAAAGATTTTTAAACATTTTCTGTTTTAGTTTTTATAATTAACTACATGTACATTTTTACCATTTTCAAACGTATCTTTTATATGATTTTTGTTTCTTAATATTGAAGTAATAACAAAATATATTCAATATTACAACAATTCAACTATTTTAACGCTGTATTTAATATTCAATCAAAAATTTACTCTAAATCTTATATGATATATTCATACATTTTGAAATTATATCAATAAAATCAAATATCTTGTTTTAAAATGAAGTATTGAAGCTTTTCTGTAATGGTATTGTTAGATGTCTTAGAAGTACATTGTTAATTTGTAGTTATCAAAGAAAATTGATGAAAAAAATTATAACGAAATTTATATTATATAAAAGAATCGTTTAACATGCTTGTAATTAATGAAGTATATGCAACAATTTTACTCATCTTCCAATGTTTTGAGCTGTTCTTCAACAAGTTGAACAAGATATGGAGTACGATCGTAAGTGCAGAGGTTGAGGCTCTTTCCAAGTTCGCGGCGGTCAACTTCGATCTCTGGATGCTGAGACTCGAACTTAAGAACAGCTGGTGCAAATTTGAATCCAGCGGATTGTAAGAATTCAAGGACGAGCTTATATTGAAGTTCCTTATCACCATCAATTGGGATACTTGGGAATGCCTGAAGTTCTGGCTGTGAATCATCGAGAATGTGACGAGCAGCAATTTTAGCCATTTCCTGGGCATCTGCGAGAACTTTCTCCTTGATTCCCTTCTCTTCAACGAGCTTTTGAAGCTCATCAATTACTTCCTTCTGTGTATCACTGACAACGCCTTCAAGCCAGGTGCTCATTATAACTGAATTTTTAAACGCTCATAACTCCACTTTTTAACGTCACTTTTTCCCTTACAACAATATAACAACCGATTATCATAAATTTATCTACAAGTATTGCTATACCTACGAAGGTTGTCTATTTTATTAAGAGATTTTCTTCTCATTCCTAATGTTTTGTATAATGATGATCAAATTATTGAACATTTTGACTTAGACTATTAAGTATTTTCTTTAAAATAAGCAGTAAATCAGAATATTTACGACAATAGCCTTTTAGAAGAATAAGATTTAAAAAATTAGAAAAATTTTAGGAACAAACTTGTAATTGCAAATAAAAAGTAAAGAAAAGTTTATATGCTAGAGAGGAAGAAAATATTTTATCAAAAAGTTTGAAAAATTAGGCAAGAATATTCTTGATTTCAGGAAGAGCACCTTCTGAAGCGAGCTGAAGTCTCTCTTCGAATGTATTGTCAATGAAGATTGTATCAGCCTCTGAAACGAGGTAAACACCACCAATAACTTTATCTTCAAGATTTGTGTCAGTAAGACTTAACTTTGTTTCTGTCCCCAACTCACCCATGATTGTCTGGATAAGTTCTCTATCTCTCTTTGTGACAGAAACCTTTACAACCTTTTCATTCAATATTTCAACGCCCTGCTTCAATAAAGCCTTCAATATTTCCTTATATTCTGGTGTTTGAACTAATTTCTGGAGTTTCTCGCGAACCTTGTCCATGGATTTTGTGATGATTTCGCGTTGTTTATTTAATATCTCAATTCTTTGTTGATTCTTGGAAATAGAAAGATTAATCTTAGCGTTTCTTTCGATTTTGCTGCGTTCAAGTTCGAAATCTGAGCTCAATTTGGAATAAGAAAGGTCGACCATTTTCTTGAGGGCCTGATCGTGCTCTTCGCGAGCAGCAAATTCGATTTCCTCAGCACGGAGTCTAGCCTGATAAAGGGCGAACGCCTCACTGCGGGCTGTGGAGTCATCAGCTGTGTTAATCATTCCAGCTAAAATAAATTGAATTTCTCTGTCTATTGAGTTTCAGACGGACGATCAGGCGTCACGTTTTTGACGGAGATGATATTTTTGCCTTTTTCTTAGTTATTATGGAATAGCATATGATAAAAAGTAAAATCGAAGATTGAATTTGATCGAGCTTTGTAATAATCTAAAGATTTTTTTACAATGAGGATAACCCTATTTCCATTATACATTTCAAAATTTCTAGAGCAATATAATCAATTTTGATATCAAAATTTGTTCATCATCTAATAATAAATTTCAAATTTTATTAATTGGTAATAAATCATAGCCATGACTTTATATATCAACTATAAAGTTATGAATAATTATTGTCCTTGAAGGAAAAATTCTAATTTTAGTTATCAACACTGTATAGAGAATTTGGATTGAAATAATGAATATAATAAAGTATTACTATAAAATCTTGATGCCAAAAGTAGTTATTAAATAATATAGAATTGTCACAATCCATTTATCCTAAACAATTGTTGAAAATGGATGAGATTTCAGCAAATTTTATATAAAAAGTGACAGATTTTATAATATGAGTGAGAATTTTTTGCGAGATTCAGGGACGTTAAATGATTTACTGGGGTATTTAGATTCTGTTCAGTCTAAGTCAGTGAATGATTTCGTTCTTCCTGATTTATCTCAAGCGCAAGAAGTTCATTCAGAATTCGTTAATAAAATGGATGAATTAGAGAGCACAATTGAGTCATCTCGAAAGAAAGAACAAGAAGCCAAGCAAGAATTGGCACAAGTTAAAGAACAAACTGCAAAAGAAATTGAAAAAATTAAAGCAAAATCTAAAAAGAAAGTAGCTCAAGCGGTACAAAAGTATACAGACATCATTAAACAGCAGCAAGAACAACAAGAAGCACTTATCAAACAAAAAGAACAACTGTTACTTCAAATTCAACAAGAAAAAAAGCGAGCACAAGTTGCAAGAGAAGAAGCTGCTAGAAGAATCAAAGAAATTGAAGATCAAGCTACACAACAAGTTGCTCAACAACGTGAACTTGCTATTGCCCAAGAAAAAGCAAGACAAAAGAAATATCTTGAAAATCGTGAAAAAGAAATCAAAGAAAATACAGTTAAAGCATTACAACCAGAGCTTGAAAATCTCATTGCTCGCCAGAAAAGAGAATTAGATGAAATCAGAGCTTCAAAAGAAGAAGAAATTCGGGCAGCAAAAGCTTCTATTGAAAGATTGGCTGAAGAAGAAAGAACTAGACTTATCGAACAGATGGATCGCGAAAGAAAACTTGAAGTTGAATCGATTGAAAAAAGATTACAATCCCAACTCGAAAGAGAAAGAGAAATGCATAATTCAGAGCTTGATAGACTTGTCCAAAAATTAAAAGCAGCCCAACAAGAACAAGAAAATTTAACATTAAAAATTTCAGAATCTCAAAATGCTCCAAAAGTCGAAGAAAAGCCACAAATTAAGACAGAAACGATAATAAAATCCGATACAAATGCAATTATCAACGAAATGAGGGAGAGATGGAAAGCAGAACTTGCTGCAGAACAATTAAAGCATCAGCAAGAGATACAGAAACTGAAAATGACTATAGAAAAGGAAGTAGAAGATGCACGTAAGGAAGAACAAGAGAAATTTGCAAGAAAAGAAGAACAAATTAAAAATCAAACGAATGAATTGTCAAAAGAAAAGAATCAGAAGAAACTTCAGGTAGTTATTGAAAGGTTGGAAGCTGATTCTAACGCTAAAATAAAGAAAATCAATGAAGATGCGGAAAGAAAGATAAATGCTGCACAATTAGAGACAAAAAAGTTCATTGCTCAACTTGAAGATGCTCAAGCAAACAGTAAAAGACAGATTGGCCTATTAGAAGCAGCTGTTGCCGATGAAAGACAAATGAATTCAAGATTAGAAAGAGAAAATGAGAGATTAGTCCATGAAATAGAGAATAACAAGACAACAATAAAATCATTACATACAGAAATAGAAGCAAAGGATAAACTTATCCAAGATACATCTAAATCATACGAAGAAAGAGTCCAATCAGCGAAGAAATCCCTTGAAGAAGAGCTTGTCAGGCAAAAAGAAATCAACGCTAAAGATAGAGCGTCATTTGAAGCAGAAAAACTTGCATGGCAAAATGAGAAAGACACAATCATCAAAAATAATGAAGAAGAGTTTGCAGCTGTCACTAAAAGAGTCAGATCTCTTGTCGAGCAGAAAGAAGAGACTATTAATCAGCTCAGAGAGCAGTTGACAATAGCTCAACAGAGAATGAAAGAAGCAGAACAAATTTTCCACCAACAGAAGAAAACAATTTTATCGACAAAGACTCCTGTGAGGGAATCTGTTTCAAAGAATCCTACTACAAGGGACTCTGTATCATCAAGGACGCCTTCAGCAAGAGATTCTGCTACTAGAAAGTCTCAAGTTTTGAAGAAATAATTATTTATAATGTTTGTTTTATGTTAATAAAAAATAATAGTTTGTAATAGTAATATCTTTCTATTAGAGTAATGATTAAGACTTTGTTTTGCAGAGTTATATTTTCTCACACATTATTATGAAAGTAATAAGTATATTCTAAAATATCTATAATTTTGAAAGAATTCGTAAAGGGGGTGTGGCTCAGTGGTAGAGTGCGACTTTAGCATAGTTGAGGCCGGGGGTTCGATTCCCCCCATCTCCATTTTTGTTTTTAAAAATCAATTGTTTTCTGCATATTCTAAGGATCTCTGAGTATTAGTTAAATAAAATGATTAATTTATCTTTTTGACCTCTTTTCCACTTATGATAGCGTTCTAACATTTCAAAACGCAATTTTGAAATCAATATTTTCTAAATAATCTGTAAAGGTTTATATTTTAAAAAGTATTCGGTCTATTTCACTGATTATGAAATATATGCGGGTATAATTTCTGTTACGAATAGAAAAGATTACTAAAAAGAAAAAAACATTTTAATTTTAGTATACAAATTAACAAAAAAACATAGTATAAATTATATATATGACGCATTCCAATTGAATTCATGGAATCATTAATCAATTGGGATATTATTCAACTTACAGGATTTAATTAGTTCTTCGTATTCTTTTTGAAGCTGTTCATTAAGTTGCTCTTCTTTTTTGATCTCATTGTCAAGGGTTTCTGATGATCGTAAAGCTAAACAATATTGAAAAATCATACTAGATGTTCCAATTTCTTCGATATTTTTAATTGAACGATATGCATCCACATACGGTGTTGCACGAGAGGAGCATGCACCTTGATCTATTTTAATTTGATTTTCGTAAGCTTTTTTTGCTTGAGAATCCAAAGCCATTTTCAAATTCGGATTTCCCATTGTCCTTATATAATGCTGATACTCGGGGGAGTCATTGTATGCAGCTAACTGAGGATTAATAACAGAATATTGAAAACTTTCTGCTTCCATTGTAATAAAAGTGACAAATAAACATCTTTTATAGAAAAATAAAATCATTCATTTTTATTTAGTTAAACAATTTTTTTACAAAAATAATTGAACAAAATTTTTTTGAATTTAATTATAAATCTTTCCGTCTCTCAATGATAAATTCTTAGTATTTAAGAGTTTTACACGGATGATAAATTAAAAATATATAAATGGATGCACAATATGTGCATCAAAGGGACTTAACGACAATTCTGACTGAGCTCGAAGAGAATTTGAAGCGAATAGCTTCAAAACATCCGGAGAACTCAGAGCAAGAGCATGCTGCAAAGCAAGAAATCAACAAATTAATTACAAATGCGGATACAGACTTAAGATTGAAAACACAAACAATAGTCAGATCGAGACTTGGCATCTCAAAAACACTACCTGCTAATGTTATAGACACAGATTACGTATCAACGATGCACGTTATTAAATCAAATCGCCCAATCGTTCCAGATTTAAAGCCAGAATTCAGGGCACCTCAATTAGAACGATCATTCACAGCATCTACTAAAAGAAAAATAGAACCAAAACAATCTCTTCCTGTTCTTCGACAAATTCCAGCTTCAGCACCAACCAGACCGAAAACATCTCTCGAAAGAGCGAAAATATCGAAAGTTATACACAAACCAAAGCTTCCTAGGCCAGATTTTAGAGATCCTGCCGCTCCATTGCCAAAATTAGAAGAAGCTCAAATTGCAGAGACAGGATTCTTTGAACTCACAGAAAAAGGATTACTCAGAGAAGGTGATATACAAGGGAAGCTCGAAGACTCAATAAAAGTCGATCCTTTTGTTTATGACTTTATGAAGATACCAATGGAGTTAAAACCAGCATACAAACTATCTCCAGAGGAAGCATCAACTTTAGCAGAAGAACAATCGAAGAAAAACGCTGAACAGAATAATTTAATTCCTCCAGCAACAAATCAACCATATCAACCTTCAAGACAGACAATTATATTCATTAATGGAGATCCTCTCGTTAATTCCATCGAATATACAGTATTTAGACGTACTTACGCCAACATTTGGGAACAAATCGAGATTATCCTCCCAACGATCAAGAGATTCTGCGAGAAATACGTAATAACACGTGTGAAAGTCGATTCTAAGCTATTATACGAGATGTGTAAGCTTGATCCTGATGATGTTTCCGATGAAAGAATGTGGGGAATATTTGTCGGCATTGACGAAGACGAAGTCAAGAAGAAAAAGAAGTCACAGAAGTATGGATTCGGTTTTATTGGTCCTGATGCTGAGAAAAGAGCTGCTGTATGTATTCAAAGTATATGGAGAGGTTTTCAATCGAGAAGATTACTTAGAAACATCAGAAGAAACAATGCTGCTGCAAGAATCATCCAGAGAGCATACAGATCTTCTGTTATTCGCAAGAAATTTGTTTCATTCCACGAAGCAGAGACAAGGAAGCGTGCTAAGATGTATGAAACACACCAAAACGAGTTAGGCGTATACGATAATAACAGAAAGACCTTTGTTGTTCACTTGATTGAGAGTGATAATCCAATGAATTTCGCAAGATTAGCAGATATCAACGAAAACACGTCACTTGTTTTCTTCTTCTTCAAGCACCCGATACATACAACCATTAGGCAGAAATTCAGGGCTCTTGCAAAGGCTCCTGATATGCTAAATTTTTGCTGGCCAAGTTTCAAGCGGTTATCTCCCAATTTTTCTGTAGAAGATATGATTGCATCGGATCTGACGACCATTCAAAAAATCAAACAAGTTGCGGTAAATACGTCTGGAATATTGATTCCTAACAGTATTTCGGTTGCAACAATTGAAGCAAGTTTAAGGTTAAACGCGGTAGTTCTTTCTCCTACTTTAATGAGGATATCCTTGTATTCTACACGTGATTCTATCAGGAGAATCTTTTCTAGCCTTGATTTGCCGATTTTACTTGGAAGTTCCGAAATATTCGATATGAATACGCTTTGCAGCAACTTGACTGACTTGTCAATGTCATTTCCAACCATTAACAGATGGTTGTTGCATGGAAACAATGGTGAATTCGCATGGTTGAACACAACTGATGTTTCATTGCTTGAAAATCTCAGAGAAAGCAAAATAATGGAATCAGATAACCAGAAAGAAATCATCCATTTCAGAGAAATCCTCTTCCAATACTACTTTAATAACTTGATGAAGTTATTACAGCACACAGGATCATCAGAACTGCAACCATTCATGAGGAAGATGTATGAGCAGGGCTTTTTGGTTGAATCTGCCCCATGGATGGTCAGATGTTCTCCAGAAGTTTCATTTGTATTGACTTCCAACGAAGAAATGAAGATCACTGGTACTTGGGAGCGTCTTTTCATCAGTGCTTATGAGCCATTTGCCATCATTGTTCCTGCATTTATCGCTCCTACAAATGAGATCAGAACTAAAACACAGAAAATCGCAAATGATTGCATGAACAAGCATTTATTTGGCCATAACATTGTCACTTATTATTACTCCATCGAAGAAAAACAAGATAATAGTTTTGAGACGAAATTAACTCTATTTTCTGATAATCTTCGCTTAGGAGTTTATGCAGAAACATTACCATTGCATGCTGTAGAGATGTTTGCAGGTACTAGCTTCGATCAAACAACACTTTCTTTAGGCGAAAACATGTTTGTTTATGTTCAAGACAATTTAATGATGCCATGGCCGGTTGAAGTCGATGCTATTGAGCTAAAGATGCAATCATTTGATATTCCAATTAACAAGAAAGTCTTTGTTCTTCCTTCTTTGTATGATAAATCAAAGATAGGTCTTGTTATCAAAGAACAAACTATTGATTCATTGATCAGTTTGTGTTTGAGAACGATGAAGTTTTTGGCCGAAGATTTTTATGAAAGAAAAGTTGGAGCACAAACAGCATTAGCAGAGTATGTTCGTGCTATTTCAAACTTGAAGTCTCAATTAACAATTAACAAAGAATTGACTTCTACTTTCATAAACACTAAAGTCCAATATGGCCTTGAATCAAGTAAATCTCAATTTGTCTTTGGAGACGAGAATGATCCAGACTCGCTCAAGTCAATTGAAAGGATTCTGACTGAAGACGAAAAGAACAATCCAATTCAGATGGACAGAACAGCGACATTTGATAAGATATCTGTAGATTCAAATGAACATATATCACCTTTAACATCTCCTTTATCAGTAATGACTCAGAAGTTCCTAGAAAAATAAGAATATTTGTTTTTTATATCTTTTTTTGTTTGTTTATTTTTATCATAAAATATTATTTTGAATATAAAATTCCTAGACTAATATTTGTTATATCACATGATGGTGTTGTAAAATAGAGGAAATTATGACTATATTGTTAATATTATTGAGTAAATATGTTTGTTATTAAACTTGAAATCGAAATTGAATCCATAAAATTCTTATGATCAGTCGTTTTATTAACTATACTACTAAAACAGAATTCAACTTTAATCAATATCCTATAATTCATTTCAATCTTTTATTTGGTCCTAAGAACAATGAAAAAGCAATGATATTATTTTTTATTCAAATAAAATCAAAAGTAACAAAGTATTAAACTCAAAAGCAAAGTAAAAGTATTTGCAAAAAGAATTATCATAGTAAACACGAGAAATAATGACATACCCATCGCCATCATACTTAGTTTGAGTTCCGTTTTTCAAAGCGATGTTGGTGAAAGTAAATTGCGGCTCAATTTTACAATCAGGATGTCCTGATATATATGAGCTCCCACCAGTACCAGGAGCATATTGCTGAGCTAATCCTCCACGATACCCTGCTCCTCCACCACCAGAACCTTCAGATCCACTCCCAGCATCTGTTACTCCGGTTTTTCCATCCTGACTTGTGCCAGTCATCGATCCAAATGTTTGATTTACTCCAGAATTAACAACATTCCGACCTATGTTCTCGGCATTATTGCTGCTTATTCCCCCTGCATCTCCCCAAACGAATTTGTTTGTATCATATTGCGCTGTAGTCATCATTCCGCCACCACCACCAGCGGCAACTATTATTGGAGATGTTTGATCTTTATTTAATGAGATGACTGTTCTTCCACCTCCAGATCCTCCAGATATCACTTGTTTCCCGAGGAAGGTAGTTCCAGAACCGCCTTTTCCTCCACCATTGATACCTCCTGGAGTAATTGAGCCATCAAATTTTCCCGATCGGCCTTTTCCTCCAAGTGTAATGTATATTTTTATCGGTTCTCTTAATTTTGCAACTCCTGACACATACGCGCCGTAGCCATGGCCATCACCACCACCTGCAGGTCCGTAAGATTCGATAAAATAGCGTCCAGGAAAGAATTGGTACTCGAAAGTCTGTCCAAGAGCTGTGAACCTTTTAAGCTCTTTGAGACTAATCAATTAATTTTGGAAGTTGTGATGTGAAACATTCAAAAAATTAAATTCAAAATTATTGAATTAGATAAAATTTTAAGGGTGCACACGAGAGGATCATGTAAACTTCAGAATTTAGAACCTTATTTTTAGGCATTATCTTGGCTACCTATTTAGGCTCGAAAAGCAAAAAATATCAAAAAATACAACTTGACTCCATTATGACCCTTTCATGGAGGTAGTTTTTATCCGCTAGTATTTTCCCTTTGAATCTCTTTACAATTCGAAATCAAATTCAAATCTCAGTAGAAGAAAGGAAGAATCGACTTACTACGGTTGTAATACGAATAAATACATATATTTAATTATTTTATTTACATAATAATTGTTTGAAGCTCATATTCCATCAAATTTTTAAATAAAAACATTAAAATGTTGAAAATGTTCATATATTTTAATAGGGTTTTGGCACTTTATTGAGGAATTACTACATACATAGTCGAACTGAACTTGATATTTTGAAATTTAAATTATTTATCAAAATTAAAATTTAACTTGAAATTTATAATTATTTAGTCATATTTTGCATAATTCTAAGTAGATTTTGTAAAAAATCAAGAAAGAAAAATTTTAACGTGCTTTATTTTTTCTTTTTTATAATAATACATATTATTATATAATTAACATATTCATAATGTTTCACCCTTTCAAAAATATAATCCTCCTCCTCTCAAATAAACGTACATACGGGTGGCCTCTTTTTTCAAAAAATTAAAATTTGAAATTTTGGGCTCAAATATTAGAGATTTTTTCAACCTTCAACGATATATGTTGTCTATATCAGACCTCCTTTCTTTTTGATACTTAACATTGTTCCTAAATCTTAGCCGTTAAGGCTGTTCTGAAAATATTTTTTTTTCGAAAAAATTCGACAAAAATTCTTAAAATTCAAAAATCCCTTAATTCCTGAGGATTTTGGAAAAAAGTTTTTACATGAACATGTGTATATTATATGAAGTATATTGATAAGGTAAAAATCAAATTTTATTGCATATTCATCGAGAAAATAAACTAACGAATCCCTCAAAATTGAGAGGGTAATCCTCCTCCTCTCAAATAAACGTACATACGGGTGCACCCTTAAAACCGAAATGTGAGTTTTTCATATTATGATATTTACACACAATTTCAGTAATACTAAAAGTGACATTTGGATGAGAATCTGTTGATGATTCCTAATGCATTCTCTTTGTATCTATCCAGAACTTTTAATAAATCAAGCTTATATCGCTTTATTTCTTAAAGCTTAAACATGTAATTTAGCTTAGTAATTCGTTTTCCCATCTATAATTAAATGCAATCAAGGTTATCTGTGGAGTACTGAGTTCTGTTTTGCACCAAATTGCATAATTGATCTTCTAAGTTGGCTATCATCCAGGGATTGCTTGAATCTCAATAAATGATGGATATTTTTGAAATATTTATGAAAATTTTAATGTTTTATATAATGATATGATTAGAACTATGTAAAGAAATAATCATATGATTTTTTTTTTCGGCGCCAAAATTCATATGTCACTGGATATTGTAAAACCTGATGAACCTGAAAAAGAACCAGAAAAGAAGGACATAGCGGCCAAACCACCACAGCAAGGCCCTAAAAAAGAGGTATTTAAACGACCGCTTACAGAAGAAGAAAAATTGATTATTGTAGATTATTATCATCAATGGGGTAAACAATGGACCAAAATTGCAAAACGCATAGGTAGAAGTGAAAGTACAGTCCGAAAATGGTATGAAACATTTCAGAGAACTGGTACAAGCAGCAGACCTCCTGGTCGCGAAACTCTAATTTCACAACCAATCATCGAACAAGTTATATCAATATCAGCAGAAGATCCATCACTTACTCTAGATGCTATTTCTAAGAAAGTCGGAATTTCAAGGAGTTCCGTTCATAATATATTAAAGCAGCATAATGTTAAATAAGTTATAATTACTACAACATGCAACACGTGTTGTTGCTCATACATTTCATGCTGAGTTTATCCTTAATTGCATGAAAATTAAATTTCATTTTTCTCTATTGTTTAAAATCAAAATTCTGTTATCATATAATGTTTATTAAACGAATATACTTTTTATATTTGATCTAATACCAAAGTATTTTCAATTTTGGGGAAAAAAATCTAATACATTCCTTCTTAATTCATAGCTTCCTTGTGATTACCTAATAAAGTGCGAGTACTAGGTTATTATTTCGGTCATTTTTCTCAAGTATTGAAGATTATCTAAAAAAAATTTTGAATTATATTGCAATATTACATAATGATTATATAAATTAGATTGTAATTTTATTATGATGCAAAGCTCTCGTTTTACTTTTGCTCAAAACTAAATAATTATCTTCCAAAAATTTTTTGAAATTAAAAAAATGAAATAAAAAAATAATATTTTGACTTTGCTTTCCATATGAAAAAAATTTCATTGCTTTTTGATGTAGAAAAATACTCATTGAAATAGAACAAAAATAGCAAAATGCATAAGAATTTTTGAAATATAACATTTATTCATTAATTTTATTCTTTTCTCTTATAAATGCGTCTCCAGTTATCATCAATCTTCTCAAGGTACCATGCGCCGCTTTCAATAAGATCGAGGCTGCATGATGGTTCATAAGGTGCAGTTCTGTAGAGTTGATCAGCGAGTTTGATGTCGTGGTCATAATCAGATACCTTTCTCTGAACTCTGTTTGCAAGTCTTTCTTCGAGATTCAATGCATCTTTCATAAATTTAATATCACCAACAACATTGAGGACATACATTGAAGATGCTGCACCACTACCGTAGCTAAACATCATCAATCTCTTTCCTGTAAGATCGCGGTTGAATATTAATGAAGACAAAGCCATGTAAAGAGATGCAGTGTATCCATTGCCGCACATTGCGGACATTAATGATGCAGGTTGTACTTTATCCTTGAAAATTTGTGCTGCATCATGGGATTGTTGTGAAACTGTCTGATGTTCAGATCTTGTCTTAATAATTTCAGGATCATTGTTATCTTGATGCTGATCAAGGAAGTTAAGACGACCTGTGCACTTCTTGATATGGTTCTGGAACGGTGTGTGGAATACAACGTAATCAAATTTATCGAGTGTTGTTCCAGGATGGCGTGTACGGAATTGCATGTAGCAATTCTCGAGGCATTCGTAGTAAAGTGTCAAGGAGAGTGGTCCATCAACCTTAGGATGTGGATTGGCCGGATTTGGCTTCCAAAAATCGAAGCTGTGAGTGAAATAGTTTGTTAACGAGCCCTTTTCGAAAACAATTGGGGCGTCTGGACCAAGCACCATTGCTACAGCACCGCATCCTCCTGTTGGTCTGGCAGCTCTATCATCATAAACGGCAATGTCAGCGCAAACGACAAGAGCAAGTCTGCCATCCCACTGTGAAGACTCAATCCAGGCAAGTGAATTGAGAAATGCAGCGGTTCCGCCATAACAGGCATTAGTATTGTCGACACCCATAATAGAGTGGTTTTCTTCGAATAATTGCATTACGAATGACTTTATTGATTTTGAACGATCAATAGCAGTCTCTGAACCGATCTCGAGACGCCCAAAATCTGTTGGCTTGTATCCATATGTGTCCATGAGCTTCTGCACAGCACTCATCGCAATAGATGCAGTATCTTCATGGTCTGTGCAAAATGAGAGAGCTGTCTGACCAAGACCTTTTGTGAATTTACCTTTAATCTTTGTGCGTGATTCTTCTCCGAGGATGGAGATTTCGGTTTCTTCAAGATCATCCTGTGTAACATAGCTTCTAGGAATGTTGACCTGAATGGCTTTGATGCCGATGTTCTGAGGAACAGACATTATGAAAATTTAAATAAACTTCTCAATTCTCAGAAAATTGTCAATTAGATTTTATCAACCAAGCAAAATAAGGGTTTCGTTTTGCGAAAAAAACGTACAATACGCAATTTCGCTAAAAAACATTTAGCTAGCAATTTCGACCTTTGACTCCACTCAAGACGTCACTTTTTTAATTTTGCGGTATCATATTTTTGGAAAATCTTTATGAATATTATATAAGAAGTCTCTTTAATATCTATATTTCATATTTTTATCGATTTTTAAAGTTTTTGCGAAAAGTATTCAATTATTTTTGCTATTTGGTCGGGTAAATGTCAGATTTGCGACATTTTCTGATATGATATTCAGATTCTACGTTGATCATAATGCTTATAGAACCCTCTTGCTATTGTGTCAAAATTGCGAAACCGATAGCAAAAATATCTCGCAATATCAAAATTGAGATATTGAGTGAATTATGCATTATAGAGATTAAAAATCTGATTTCTGAAAACATCTCATCAGTTTCTAGCTAATTCAAAAATCTTTACTATCTTATTCGATTAAAATGAAAAGGGAATAGTTTCATTATGCTTTAAATGACAGCCTTATAATATAATCATAGTTTTCGCTCAATATGCAGCATTTTTTTTTCGAAATCTATGGTCAATGTCCTAAATACTGATTGCTTTGCATTCATATCAAAAAAAAAAAAAAAAGGTAGTGGGGCTTCCAGGGGCTGCGCCCCTTCTAGCCCCGAAGATGTTTAGTATAAATGAAGTTTTTATTCGGAAAATTGTTAGTCTTCTTGGTCGAAAACATTATATAATGTTTCACTTTTCACAAATTATATATGTTTTCATGTTTTGTCAAGACTTCTTCTTCGTAAATGTTTTGTCAAGACTTCTTCGTAAATGTTTTGTCAAGACTTCTTCGTAAATGTTTTGTCAAGACTTCTTCGTAAATGTTTTGTCAAGACTTCTTCGTAAATGTTTTGTCAAGACTTCTTCTTCGTAAATGTTTTGTCAAGACTTCTTCGTAAATGTTTTGTCAAGACTTCTTCTTCGTAAATGTTTTGTCAAGACTTCTTCGTAAATGACCAAAAATATATTTTAGGTGAAGAGGTGAGATTTCACCTGTTTTTTCACCTCATTTCTCACCTCTTGAATTTTCATGAAATTTACACCAAAAATATATTTTAGGTGAAGAGGTGAGATTTCACCTGTTTTTTCACCTAATTTTTCACCCTCTTGAATTTTACACCAAAAATATATTTTAGGTGAAGAGGTGAGATTTCACCTGTTTTTTCACCTAATTTTTCACCCTCTTGAATTTTCATGAAATTTACACCAAAAATATACTACTAGGGTCATTTACGAAGAAATCTCAACAAAGTCTTTACGATGAAATCTCAACAAAACATAGACAAGAAAGTTCATGAGAAATTAGATGAAGAAGTCTTAACAAAGTCTTTACGAAGAAATTCATGAAAATTCAAGAGGTGAGAAATGAGGTGAAAAAAGAGGTGAAATCTCACCTCTTCACCTAAAATATATTTTTGGGTCATTTACGAAGAAATCTCAACAAAGTCTTTACGAAGAAATCTCAACAAAGTCTTTACGAAGAAGTCACAATAAAGTCTTTACGAAGAAGTCACAATAAACATCTGTCAAAAACCGCTTTTTAACTTCACTTAAAATGCCACGTAAGCTACGTAAGAATATACGTAAGAGGAAGAGAGCATTGAAACATCCAATAGTAAGACTAACACCACAACAACAGTTGCAACAACAAATGCTGAATGACCCCACTATGTTGCAACAAATGTCAAGCAATCCTATGCTTTTAAACCGAGTTGTTGGTGCACAGAGTGGAGGTTTAAGAGCGGCACTTTTAGCGAAAATGGCAGGCTATGGTGGAGCTGCAGACGGAACAGCCTATAACCCTCAAAGTCAAATGAATTTGAGTTCACTCAAAAATCAAATAACAGATGTCAAAAAGTCAAACATAGACATACAGAAGCAAATAAGTGAAAACGAAAAGAAACTAGAATATGACAGACACACAAAGAAACTCAATGAGTTAAACGTAGAGAAAAAGAAGAAGAAAGAACAACTGAAAGAACTAAGTACAGAGGAATATGCGAAAAAAGTGTCAGAAAAAGCAACAGAAGTAGCAAAAATGGAACAAGATGTCATAAATTTGAAAAACCATACTACTCAATATAAAGTACTGAAAGATGAAGAGATAAAACAAAAAGCCCTGAAGACATATATGGATAGCGATGAGTATAAAAAAGAAGTTGAAGCAAATGTAAAGGCAGAAAAACTTTTACAGTTGCAAAACCAAACCGTACAGTATGAAAACTTAGCACAAGAAAGTAAAAATAACGACGCGGCTATGCAAAAGGCAATGAAAAGCGCAGAATATATAAAAGCTAACAATGACTGGTTAGATGCCCAAGCCAACGCTAAAGCAGCCCAACTCATAGGGTCAATAAGGACAAAAATACAAGCGGATGAAGACAGTTCAAATGAAGCTTTAACGAATGCTGACTTTAAGAACGCCTTCGAAGCTCTTCATAGTAAGGTGAAACAAGTGAACGACTTCTCATCTGGAAAGAAACTGAAGTCTGAAGGTTTCGACAAAGAGTTAAGAGAAGTAGCACAAAATATGACGAAAATAACAGATGCAGCAACGAGACAGGCAGTTCAAAGTGCCTATGACGCCGTTAGAGCAACTGTTGTGAAAAGTCAAGAAAAAGAGTTACAACAGACCAAAACAGACCTAGTAAATGCTTTCTTAAAAACGAAAAGTCAGGTAGGACATTACGCTGCAGATGGAACATATGTGCCAGCTGGTGGAACTTATATACCACCAAACCCTCCAAGAGAAGCACCTGCACCAGGACTACCTAAAACATTTACATCGTCACATGGACACAGACACAGGCATGCACCAAAACCAACACAACAACCAACACAACAACCAACACAACAACCAGCACAACAACAACAACAACAACCAACACAACAACAACCACAAACAGAGCAAGGACATAAAAGAAGTAGAGAACAAGGAAACCAAGAATTCTTAAAAATGCTTAAAGAAGAGTGTGGTTTCCCAGATACTGTTGACTTTAGTGACAGATATAAAGAAGCTATTGGAAAGTTCAAGGATGGAAATACTGACCCGAACCTATTTAGCTTTATGGCTCAGCACCAAAACGGATATAATCTCAAACCTGGAAAATACAAGCTCGCTAAGGGATATGATTTAATAGCATATCATCCAAATGACATGGATGAATTTACTCCGAGATATTTGATGTCAGAGCTAAATGACAATTCAACTTTCGTCATGAAACGCGTAAAAAATAGAGACGGAACGAAAGAACAAAAGCTTATGAATGCGGATGACGTAGATAGGGAAATTGTTGAAAACGGTCTCGGAATATATGAAATGCCAGCAGATGAGGTACAAGAAACTCCACAGGAAGAAGTTCAGATACAACCAGACATGGAAGAAATAGTTCAGCAACAACAGCTAGAAGAGCCTGAAGGAAACGAACAAGTCCTTCCTTTGGAAACTAACTTCACAGAACTAGATGAAGATTTGGAACAGCCGAAAAATCTTGACCCTCAACAAGAGTATGCGGAGAATATGGAATATTTCCAAGAGTCTAAAAAAAATTCGGCTGACATAGTAGAAGAATATCGAAAAATGTTTGCCGACATACAAAAGACTCCAGCACCAGATGAAAATATTCAGCATAGAATGGAAGAACTGAAAAAAAATGTACACAAATACAACAACCCTTTTTACTTACGAGCATTTAACGTTCAATCTTCGGATGAACTCGGTGAAAATAAAAGGTTAAATTTCAAGAAAACATATAGAAATGAAACATTGTTTAAAGTTCATTCAGAACCTAACCAAGATGGAAACAAACCTACTTTTGTTTCTGCAGACGATGGAACTACAATGAGATGGGGTCATAAAGCTAATCCGGATAGGTGGTTCATAAACTTACAACCACAATTCCAAGAAGTTGTAGACGCAATGGAAGTCAATGGTGAACGAGATATAGCTGGTATTTTAAGCGCGGCTTTAATGCCATTGAAAGATATGAAACATGCAGATATTTTGGACCAGTATGAAATGAACATGGCTGATGGAAATATAACACCTGACGTTCTAGAACATTTATCTCAAAGAACTACACAGAACCATAGAGATGGTATATTTGGTGAAGAGTTTAGAAAGAAAGTTAGGGAGGGAGAAGGAAGAGAACCTATTGTACATGACCTTGCAAACGAAAGTTTACAAAATGTCATAAAAACTTACTTTGCAGACAATGAACCGAGAAGGGATGAATATTTAAGAAAACTCAAATGGACAGTACCAAATGAAATGTTAGTATTGAAAAACATGTTCCTTGACAAAATAAAACCAACTACAGAAATAAACGACGCAAGACTGAAAGATTGGGTAGAAGCTTTCCCATTCACAAAAGATATAGTTGGTAACATGGAAAGAAAACCAGAATGGCTACAAAAACATATATTTGGAAACGAGCATATTCCATATGGACAGGCACTGTTTGAAGAGCTTGAACCGGAAACTCAGGAAAGAGTCATGCAAACAATACGCGAAGACTCAAATACAAACTATGACAAACTCTTTCTAGGATATAGGTTACCTGAGATGGGCGACCAAGAGCCAAAAGGCAAAAAGGACATGGAAATTTGCAACATACTAGATGAACATAATGCAAAGATGCAACAACTTCAAGCAGAGGGCAATGAAGGAAAAAGAAGAGTTAAAAACTCAGTCAGGAAGAAAGTAAAGCTTGGTCCACGTGGGTTCTATTATGACATATAAATCCAACTATTCTATATTTTTACTCATATGAAATGTACGCCGCTCAGAATATAACGCCAACAGTTTTGGATGCCATGAATGGAAATGTTTCCGAATGGTATAACGAATGCGACAATGCCATTAGAAGGTCAGAAATAGTTCCTGGAACTTACGAATATACAACTGCTGTTTCTTATGGAAACGTAGGTGAGTTTGGAGAAGGTTCTTCAACAACAGTAGATATTGCTTGCGACAGGTTTCATATAATTTCTATTGACAACTCTTTCTTATACGTGGAACAAGACATTGAAATAAAACCTTCTGCCAAGTTGTCTGACAAGAAAGGTTGCAATGGAATTTTCTATGTCGGATACCAATATGCTCCAGAAGTTTTCATGGGATATAAGATATATTCTAACTCTGACTTAGTTCAAACAGTAACATGGGCAAACTATGAATGGTTCGCTTTGAGAAACTCAGTACAACACACAAGCTAGAGAACAAACAGACCAGTATGCAACTATTGAGAAATAAGAAGACTTGACCCTAACGTTCCAGGAGTTTATGTTAACCTTTCTGGTTCAGATGGAACTGCTGCACTAAAGTAAAACTGAAACTTAGAGTTCCTTTGTCATCTTTCCTCATCTTCAGGTTTTTAAGATACTTGCCAAACTGGGCAGGAAAAATTTCTATCGAACTTACTCCAAGCAAAAATAAACTTAGTCATTGCACAACGCAAGACCCATTCAGCATTGCTGTAGCTGGAACTGGTGGAGCCAAGTTCTGTGACTTTTGCAAAGACAAAGTTGACTTAGACTTTGGTTTCTCAAACCTCAACACTGAAGTAAACTACTACTTCAATGCTGCTGGAACTGCTTGGGACCCAGTTAAGTTCACATGTGAAAAGTTTGAATGCAAGAGAATAGAAAGCAGACTTGCAGTCTATATGTTGGACCCAGATATTTCAAATGCTTTAGCTGCCAAATATATTGCAGTTCCACTTATGTTCCTATACACCAAATATCTGTCAAAGACTTTGCAGGTGAAGTTGGAACCAAAGTGCTGACCCAGGTGCAAGAACAGATATTGCTTTAACAACTGCAATGAAACATGCAGATACTATGTTTGTACTGTTCAGACGAACTATAAATGACTATTCTTGCTTCTACAACCCTGGTATTAAATACCATATAAATAGATGGCAAATACTATCCAAGAGAAGAATATTCTACAGTTGAGGATATGAGGTCATACAACTTGACATTAGATGCTATGAACTTTAACAACAACTTCACAACAACCATTAACCCTGAAATGCAAAGTTCTATTATGCCATATGTGAAAGTATGGACTCATACAGGAGCTCAAAACACTCAAATACAAATGGAGACCGTTCAAACTTTTGGCTTGGCATTCCATTTGCTGACTCAGAAGACTTTATGGGTGGTATTTCAACTGTTGGTACTGTACAAATACAATATACTGGTGACAGAGACGGTCCAGATGAATTGAAAGCAAAGAAGTTTACAAAACCAATAGCACTTTTCACGGAAGATGCTCTTTTGAAGATTCGTTCGATGAAACCTGGGGCTCCTCAGATTGGCATAACGACAGCTTCCATCGAGCAGATTTTGGCAGCAGGTCAGTAAGTTGTTCTTGAACTGACTTCTCTCCGTCAAAATATTGACAGTACGCCAGTTTTGACATAATATTGTATTATAAACTTACCTTTAGAAATATCTGTAAGTTTTGTTGTTATATTTTTGTCTGCTTCAAGAACTTTCACCATTTCAGTTATACCAACTTTCTTTGCTTTATGAAAATATTTTGGTTTCAGCAAAGACTGCTATTCTATATACATTTTCCATTGTTTGTATAAAGAACTATTCTGTCAATGTATTTGTATTGTTTGTGTGTGTAAACTTTGTTCTGCTTCAATTCGAAGAGATATCCGAATACGTCCATCTTTTTATTCTAAGTAAAATGTCATTTCCGAAAAATAGAAGCGTAAGTGTTTCAAAAGGTTTAATGGCGGTGGCAGATGTGAAGTTAAATTCACCAACTCAAACAAACAGTCAAAGTGTTGTTGTCAATGTCAAAGAAAGAGATGTTGAAGTGGGGAAACCAATACGAGGACGAAGATGGTATAACAATAGTTCCTGTAAAAGAACAACCAACATATCCTGAAGTTAGCAGAGACTTAAGTTCTGTTGCAGATATTCGAAACGACTACCTCAAAACTTAAAGACAAACTTAAAACTCAGGAGAAGATTTGTCAAGCTTTGGGTATAATGTTAAACTTGTCGAACACAACCCTGTAAAAGTGAACTCATATGTCATTGCACCTCATGAAGTTTTGAAAGAACTATTGAAACTTTTGACAGAGGCAGACGATATAAACATCAAAGAAATAGAACCCGACATTGCTTGCTGTGGTGTTTCATATAATGTCATTGACAAGATATACGTTATGAAAGGAGGTGAAACGTTGAACTTAAAAATATAGTTTCCCAGACGTCATAAAAATATTTGAACGACCACAACATTTCATTAAAAATTTATTTGCTAAGTAAATGGCAGAAGATATAATGGTTTATACTATTACGACTAAAAACCCCGAGTCATATAATTCTATAACAACAAACTTACAAAGTCCTCAAGGACGGTATTGTAAACTAACCTTAAACACAATGACGACTAAAGCTTGTTTTGCTCTTTTGACACCAGAAGATTTTATTGTTGTGAATGGTAAAAAATACTTCTTTGAAGATACTTACTCAGATATACCACCAACAGGTTTTGTTGACTTATTTAATACTTTAAGGACGGATGTAACATGTGCTGCAACTAGAGCAGGTTTCATTATGTTTGGATGTCCGACTGAGTTTACTATAAACGATATGAGCTATAATACAAAATTATATCTGGTTTTTACTACCAAATTTTCCTATAACAGGAAAAGGTGTCATACAAGGTCTATCTGTTCCATTGACTTTAAGTACACCTATTTTATATATTGTTTCAAACTTAGGTTCAAAGTGCTATTCGAATGTCGACAGAAACTACTATGACCAAAAGATACTCATGCGTATAAACAACACTTTCTCTGCTGGTTTGCCTATTGTTCATTCGAATGCAGAGTTTTCAGCTTTAGTAAACTCAAACACTTTAGCAAACATAAACTTAACCTTAGTTGACGCAAACTTTGTTCCTGTAAAACTTTTATGTCCTATGTATTTGTCAATGACGGCAGAAAGTTTCGAATTGGAAGATGCAACTGGTGAAAGTATTGTACTACAAGAACAACTTCAACAACAAATAGCTCAAGAACAACAAATGCAACAAATGGCTCAAGAACAACAAAGTCAAGAATAAAAAAATATTTTTTTTTTTTTTATAAAAATGTACAGAATAGATGTTTCAGATTTTTATGACTTCCAAGCCTTCAGAAATATGTGTCCATTTCGAGACTATAACAAAGCAGTCGAGAATTTGAAACGTTTAGTCATTTATGTCGACTCTGCCCCAGAATGTTATGTCATGAAAGAATGGGATGTAGTCTTTAACAAACCTAAAGCGACAATAGTTTCAGAACAAGAATGTAAACAGAAACTTAAGAAAATAAAAGTCGTACAAGTTGGTATGAAGATGTTAGATGCTTGGGATATCTTATTGTCAAAGTTAGAAGATTTTCAGTTCGTGGTATAAAGTTCTATACACCTTCTCCAAACTTCTATTCTATCTTCACTGGATATAAATACGAACAAGTAGAATGGAAAGAAAATGTTATAGAAGCTTGGTTAGACCATGTCAAAGAAATTATATGCAATGGAAACGAAAGAGTCTATGAGTATATCTTATGTTGGTTTGCAAACATCTTACAACATCCAAGTGCTAAAAATGAAACTGCTCTCATTGTAATTGGAAAACAAGGAACAGGTAAGAACACTTTCTTTACAGATATCTTATGCAAACTGTTAGAGGGCTATTCGAACCCGAATATGACAAACTTAGAAAACATCTGCGGTAAATTTAACTCTTCAATAGAGAATATGAAACTTATAGTATGTAACGAACTTCAAAGTATAGATACAACAAAGGTTTTAAACTCAGATGCTTTGAAGAGTCTTATAACAGACAAAGTTGGAGTTGTTGAAAGAAAATATAAAGACCAAAGAGTTTGTGAAAATGTTGCAAATTTCATCATGGTTTCAAACAACGCCGTTCCGATGAAGTTAGAAAGTTCTGACAGAAGATATGTAGTTGTCAGAACGTCAGAAGCTCATATGCAAGATACAGAATATTTTGACGACTTAGCAGAAACTTTGACACCTAACTTTTACAACCACTTGTTCTCATATTTCATGACATTAGATATTTCAAAGTTCAATCCAAGACAAATTCCACATACCGAAGAGAGACAAACATTGTTAGAAGCAAACAAGAGTGTATATGAACTGTTTATAGATGAGACTAACTTTGTGTCATTAGATGAAAGGTCTTTATATGATGAATATAAACAATATTGTCAAGAATATGGTTATATGGCAGCTTCTAAACGTACATTCTTGGCAAATGTCAAAAATCTTTTAGATGTTCAGAATGGCGTATATACAAAGAAAAATTTTTCTGAGTAAATTTTATAAAAAATATTTTTTTATCCGATAAAAAAGATGACGAAATTCATCTCAGTAAATAAGTACATGACAGAAGTCAAAGATAAGTTAGCTCCATTCGCATATTTGAATGTTTACTTCTACAATTTTGAAAAGTCTACATTTGACAAAATTTGGAACATTGCACCAGTTAAGTTTGCTGTTGTTAGAAAAAGTGGTGCAACTTTTGAAGACTTAGACATAGAAGGTTTGTTAGCAGTCAAAGAAAATTTTGACAGAAAGTTCTCAAAACTCGAAGAAGGCAAAGCATACAAACTTGTTATACCTTATGAACAAAGAAAGCAGACGACTATGAATATTATGAGTCTAAGATAGTTGAAGTTCAAGGTAAATTGGGTAAAAAGATTTTAGAGTCTAAGCCAGTGTTTGCTCCTAAAGAGAGAGAACATTGACATTGACCCAGAAATGTTCTAAAATAAAATTTTATTTTTACATGTCAAATTTCTTTTTCTCTGGTTCAGGTTCTTTCTTCTCTTCTTCTACTTTCTTTTCTTTCTTCTCTCTCTTCTTCTTCTTCTCTGGTGGAGTTATGTCAAACTTCTCAGAACCATATTTTTGTAAAAGGTCTTTGTCCTTTAATAGCTCTTCTATTCTGTTTTCTATTTCATCTTCAAGAACAGCGCATGTGTCTTCTTTGCATTCTAAGAACTTTTGTTGGACTTCATCTTTCCAATCGGCGTCATCTCTGTCAACAAGTCTGTCATTGACAAATTTTAAGACTGCTCTTTGTAATGTTTTATGGTTCTTGTCATATTCCCAGAAACAGAACTTTAGAACAAATTCACCTTTCTTGTTTACACTATGTAAGATTTTATGGTCGACAGATGTTTTGCTGTCGAAAAGTTTGTCTCGAATATAGATAGCGAAATCGCTAGACATTTTCAAAAAGATAAAAATTTTAATTTTTCTAAAAATATGTTAGAAAAAAAGTTTGCTGACATTGACAAGAAATTTGAGAATGTTTTAAACAAGAACAAGAGGAAGTTAGAAAATGCTCAGATAAAACCCATACATGAAAAGTTCTTATTTGCTCAGAATGGTATAACAGGTCTAATTGCACCACCTGGGTCGGGTAAGACTTTCACTTATCTTAAAATGGCTGCACAACAACAAGAACTAGATGAGAAGAACCCATTCTATGAGTTAGTTGTTATTTGTAGTACTTCTGGTCAATTTGACCAAACCGTCAATTCGTTCAAAGATATTATAAAAAAGTCTAAGTTAGTATGTATAAAAGACTCTGAGTTGTTAGATTGGATAAAGAAGTACCAAAGAAGAGTTTTGAAGTACAATGCTATAAATGAGTATATAAATTCTAAGTTTAAAGACCCAAATGAGGAAATGCAGAGAATATTAGAGAAGAAACACTTCAGAAACAAACAGAAAGAGATAGAATACATTTCGAAGAAATTGCAATCTTACGATTGGAAGACTTACCCTCATAGATGTCTTCTTATCTTAGATGATTTCGCCTCTCATCCTTTGTTAAAGAACAGAGAACAAGACATGTGTCGAATTCTTAAGAAGCTCAGACACTTTAACATCTCAGTTGTCATTTGTGTACAGACAGCAAAGAGTTTAAGTAAGGATGTTAAAAGAATACTTACTGACATTGTACTTTTCCCCGGATTGTCCGAAGACGATTTCATGGAACTTATGAAAGAGTCCATGGCAGGTAAGTTTGACAGACATGAACTATGGGAGAAGTACAAAGTCATACAAGACCCTCATACTTCTTTCAGAATTCATATCTACGCAAACAAAGTTCAAATTGTAAAAAGTCAAGCGTAAAAAATGTAAGTGTTTAGTCTTAGTCTGTTGTGGTGCTGCAGCTTTCGGTTCTTCTGGCTTTGGAAGGCATCGGTTGGTGGTACGTCGGACATTCGTTTGTGTCCTGTCGGAAGGAAGAACTCGGAATGCCAGAAGGAAGGACTTTTCCTGTCGGAAAGAAAAACTTTTCCTGTTGGAAGGAAGGACTTTTCCTGTCGGAAGGAAAAATTTTTTCTGTCGTTCGACCAAAAAGTTCTCAATTTTCGAAAATTTGAATGGTTTACGGACGAACAACAGGAAAATTTTTTCCAGTTGTCGGGAATTTTTTTTCCAGTTGTCGGGAAATTTTTTTCCAGTTGTCGGGAAGGACTTGGAATGTCGGAAGGAAGAACTTGGAATGCCAGAAGGATTTGACAAGACAATTTACCATCTAGAGCTACCTGAGCCATCTGAAGTCAAGCTTGAAAAATAAATGGTTCATTTACTCTACTTGTTTGAAGTTGTCAAAATACTCTGTTATTTTTTCCTTTAACAATGGCAAATCTTCTTTGAAGGTAAGAATTGTACAACCTTTAATATCATAGTGTGTTTGAGGTAACGTATCTTGAACTATTTGTTTCACATCTTCATTTGGTGTCATTGAAATCGGTAAGTTTTCGCGATAGAACCAATTTCTGTCAGATTTGTAAATCTTAGCAAGGTCGTAAAAGCTTTTGTTGTTTCTTCTGACTAAATGCAACATAACCATATCTCTGTCTTCTTCATTTTCCATCTCTTCAGTGTAAATCATATACTTATAGTTCTTTTCCTTTCCTTTTGGTACCGAACGTGGTATTCTTTTCTGAATGTTTTTGTCTTTTGCTTCAAGCTTGTTTTCCATCTCTTCACGTTCTTGTCTATGAATTTCATCTAACATCATGAAAATATAACAAGCGTAACGAGGTGAAGCCCACATTGCAACAGCATTTACAAGAAGTCTATGTACATACCAACCTCTCAAACCATTTGGCAAATTTTGACGATTTTCGTACGGAATCTCGACCCTCGGTTTTCCGAGGGTCGCAAACATATGAGGAAATTCTTCTAAAAGTTCTTTTGTCTGTTGGTTTTCAAACCAATGGTATGCTTGCTTTGTAGAACGAAGAGCATTCAAAATACTTTGCATTTGGTACATGTCGTCTTTGACCGAACGAATGAGACGTAACTGTTTGTTAAACTGAACCCACTCGTATTCTTCACTTATGGCTTCATGAACGATAGCAGTTGTTGTGTTCTCTGTTGTTGACATATCTGTCTTTACATACAAAATAAAAAAATAAAAAAAAATAAAATTAGCGTTATTTTCTATCTTGTATAAAAGACCAAAAATAAACGCTTTACATGTATTTTTCAGCAACTTCGTCAAATAATTTTATAGCACTATCTATCTCATCTACTTCAAACGTTTCTTTACCTTTCGTGGGAGCACCATACTTTTTCTCAAAAACTTCAAGCAGTTCTGTTTCTGCAGCTCTCATATCGTTAACGAACACAACCTTAACTCTATTGACTGTACTGTCATATCTTTTAGTTATATTAAATGTTCTTCCTATCTTATATCTCTTTGTATTGAAGTCCTTCGGTTTCTGAACGATATAAAGTAAGCCTTCACTGCAACGTTCAGTATCGAATGAACCATATGTTATGAAATTATATCCAACAACTGGGTCAATCCAGAACAAAACTATTGGTATAAGACTTTTGTCTATGAGATATGCTGTAGTTCCATAGAATCTTACCGATATCAAAAGCTCAGGATTTCTTGTCAAAATTTTCTGACTAGAAGCATTTCTAACCCAGTCCTTTGCTCTCTTTCCAGATGGAGATAAAATGTCTGACAAAGAATATTTTTTGTATTTCTTTGAGTATCTTACGTTTAAATCACCAATTCTAACCACTTTGGTGTCATTGTCTATCTTTCTAACTGTTTCAAACTCAATGTTTAACATTTCTGTTCTTACATACAAGATAAAAAAAATAAAAAAAATAAAAATAACTTTATTTTTTCTATCTTAAGGAAATTCATGAAATTTGGTCATTTTTCAGCAAAAATATATTTTAGGGTAGAAGGTGACATCTCACCCGTTTTCTCACCTCTTTTCTCACCCAAGTTATTTTTAAAATTTTGTGAAAACTCAACGGTTTGACACATGCCCTAAAAATTATTTTACTCAGAATTTTGTTGCTGAATTCAATAAAAATATATTTTAGGTGAAGAGGTGAGATTTCACCTCTTTTTTCACCTAATTTTTCACCTCTTTTTTTCACAAGCGTTTTACATGAATTGTACGATGTATATTTGAAATCCTAAACAGTTTCGTAGCTTCTATTTCTTCTTTTAGTACATCGAATGTTTTAACGATACCGAAAGTTTCTTTATACTTCTTCTTGACGTCAGATAGAAGGAAATCTTCTGCTGTTGGATAGTTTTTGTTCAGAAATTCTAACATGTCCATTTTATTTTCTGCTGGCTTTTCTGCTTCTTTCTTTAAATCTGCATAGTCGTTTCTCATTCTTTCTATCTCTTTGACGGAGTAGTTATATTTCCTCATTGCTGCTTTACATTTAGAACATTGCGGGTTCATTTTAGCATTGTACATTGAAATTTGTCCTGCAAGTACAACTATAGCGTCAATGGTTTTCTTTAACTCAAAAGTTGCTGGTTTTATCTGTTCATTCCATACCTTACCTCTTTTATCTTTATCTCTTATCTGCCATACACATTCAGCAACTAACGAAACAAAGTTGTCGTAGGTCTTAAATTCTTCAGATTTATATATGTCAGAAACATTCTTATATACCATATCGCAGTCTTTGTCCATGACTTTGTGGTTGCAATGAAATCCTAGAAACTCATAGTTTACATTACGTATGAACTTCTTTATTTCTACTGAGTCGGTTGGTCTGACTTCTATTTCATCGAATTCAGGAATAGTGAGCTTTTGTTGTTGGATTTCAGGAAGTTTAGGTAGATGGTCAATAATGTCCTGCATTTCATAAAGATATTCTTCATTTGTTTCATCTTTCGCAGTGCAATCTAAATTACTTGTTAAAAGTTCTTGCTTTATCTTCTGGATTTCTGTTTCGAAAGTATATGAAGAAGGAATGAAGCTTTTCATTTCTACTAACATTGACGTAGGATTCATGACTAACGAGTTTGGTGAAGTTGTTGCTAACATGTTCTTACAATAAAAATAAAAAAAAATATTTTATAAAAAACTAAAATATATTTTTTATCTTAAGGAAATTCATGAAAATTCAACAGGTGAGAAAACAGGTGAGAAAACGGGTGAAATCTCACCTCTTCACCTAAAATATATTTTTGTCGAAAAAAATGGTTCATTTACTCACAATATTTTTGTACAAAACAACCCCAAGCTTTTAACCTCTCTTCTGCAGCTTCTAATGCTATCTTAGCGAGTTCATATTCTCTAAATTCTCTCTTTAAATCTTCTTGTTCCCATTGGTCTAGTTCGTATGGCGAGTCTCTATAACCAGAACATATCTCACGTTCATGTTCTATTTGTTTTTCATGCATTTTTCTAACTTCTTCTTCGAACAAAGGTTTAGCATTCTCTACTGTATCTTCAAGTTCTTCTTCATCTAATTTCTCATGAACTTTCTTGTCTATGGAGTCCATAATTTTTCCAACTGCTATACAATATTTTGGAGAGGCCCACATTGCTATATAGTTTACAAGTCTTGGGTCTACATACGTTCCTCTAACATGTTTGATTTCATCCGGAATTCCTGCATGAACTTTGTATAAAAAGCAACCGCCGGAATTCCGGCGGTTGGTATATTCTTCACAAAATGCCTCAAAATACTCTTCCCAGGACTTATTTTCCAACAACTTTCTAAAGTCTTTCCTAAACTGCTGACACATATTTGTTGCATTTACATAACCATCCATGTCTCTACGTAAGACTTCAATACCGTTGTAAGTGCCTTTTGTGAATGTTTCGCCATTAGATTTGTTCGTGAACGTTTTTGCTTCGACTGTCATTTCAGTTCTTACAATAAAAATAAAAAATATTTTTTGGTGGCTTAACCGTCGGACATTCGTTTGTGGCTTAACCGTCGGACATCCGTTTGTGGCTTAACCTCAAAACAAGCATTTTGTGAAGAATATACCAACCGCCGGAATTCCGCGGGTTGCTTTTTTTATACAAAATTCAAGAGTTTTGCGTGTTTTCTACGATGTTGTCAAAATGTCGTGTTGTCAGTAATTTTAAGAGAAGTTCATTTGACCGAGGCACATAGGCACATAGGCACACCTAAAAAAACATCTAACCAAAACTCATTTTTCAATACTTTTTCAGCACTTTTCCGTAGTTATATATGAAAGACAATTCGAGATAAAAGTCATAGTACAATGGAATAATATGTTGCACACCATTTGTTGTGAACCAAACTTGAAAGTCAGAGAAACTGTTACTAGGTGGTTCGTAGAATTTAGAAGCAAAGTCATAAAAGTCCTTACCAATACATAGAAAACTATTGTTGCTTGAACTGAAACTTGCATGACACATAACATTTTGAGGGTCAAACACGTTTTTATAAACTGTCAAATCTGCTGGTGGAAGTATAAATTTAAATGGACCATCTGGTGGTAATGGTTCGTTCTGGTTTAGTAACCGAAGAAATTGTGCCCAAGAACGTTTGTCTACTTCCCAAAATAAAAACTGTGTATCTCTTGGAGGGTTAATTTCAATCTTTTGAAATGAAACGGTGGAATTCATCTTGTTGTATTCTAGTTTCAGATAGTATGTTCCATTTAGTAAAGAGTCGTATTTTTCTTGAAATTCCCAATAGTATTTGTTCATTTGAGTTTGAAAGTCATTTAGAGTCTTCTCAAGGTTTTCGTCTGAACGAATTGTAAAGATTCTCATTTCATCAAATTTGTCTATTAGACCATCAGAACCTCTATACTGCCCATGAAAATATACTGCGAACATAAAAGCGTTCGTTCTTTTTGAAAACAAAACTCTTCTAAATCCTATTGCCTTTGCATCTGAAGGACTTTGAAGCCAACGAATTGGATAGTCAAACCTGTAAGTACGGGATGAAATTTCTTCATCTGAAATATTTCTACCGGCATTTGTAAAGATATAGTCTAACGGTTTTGTATCTGCTACTTTTGTTCTTTGTTTTTCAACCTGAAACATTTAATATATGTAAAAATATACTGTTTTAAAATAGTATGCCATATAGCTTCTTGAATTTGTTAAGAAGTATTCGAACGCGTTTTCCATCTGTATCTCTAGCGTTTACATGAGCATAGCCCGCCTTAGTAAAATATACTTGTAATTTCCTATAGTTTACGCCGGTATAAAAGTAGAAAGAGTCTTGTTCTTCGCTATAGTAGTAAAACTCAAACGTATGCTTACCATAGTCTCTAATTTCAATTGCTTCATCTTCTAGTTCGTCGACAAATTCGAATACAATATCTCCAAATTTGCTTATGTTCTTATTGTTTTCAGAACGAGTGACCCAACGCAAGTTTTTAAGTCTATTGTCGTTTCTTATATGGTTTATATGGTCCACACACGGTAAATTGTTAGGGTTCGGTATAAAATGAGTTGCAATGACGACATGTTTAAGATAGTGTTTTCCACTCATCTTCATAATAGCATATCCGTCATTTCGCTCCCATTCGCTTAAAACTCTTTTTGTCTCTTTCTTCCTTATTTCAAAAGGCTCAGAACAGTGAATTTCATATTTCTCATCTAACAAACAAGTTTCCCAACGGTCTACTCCAACAAACTCAACGTACATTTCAAATAAAATAAAAAAATATATTTTTTAAAAAATGTTTTATTTTAAATGGTATGCCATTTCATACTCTTCATCTAACAAACAAGTTTCCCAACGGTCTACTCCAACAAACTCAGCGTACATTTCAAATAAAATAAAAAAATATTTTTTTTTAAAAATATACTGTTTTTTTTACTTTACGTAACCACCTGCTACCAAAAGTCTTTGACGCCAACCCATACCAGCTAATGAAGGTTGACTTGGTTTAGTTTGGAAACTAAACTTTGGTTTTGGTTTATCTTCAGTTTTTGGCTCCCCTTCTTCTATCGGTCTTTCGTCACTTTTCGGTTCACTCTGACTTTACTTCACTTGCAGGTATGTTGTTGTTCGTCAACATCTTCATAAATATCATATGCCATCTGTTTCTGTTTTCCTTTCACTTTTTGTGTTTGTTGTAAAGTTTAGAATATTTTCGAACTCTAAGTCAATGAGATGTTCTATAATGAACTGTTCGTCGGTAAAATATACTTTTCCATTCTGTTGTCTTTTAACTCTTCAGACTTCAATATTTTATTTGTGAGAGTCTGTTTCTTTTTTGAGATACTAGCCGTTCCATTTCTATGAAAAGTGACTTTATAGTTAGGGTTTGTATTTCCAGACCTGGACTTTCTATTATTGAATTTTTCTCTTCATCTGTAAGTTCTTTGACAGGTTTTGACAATGGTTCTGAACTTTTTGTTTGTGGTGTCAAATCTACCGTTTCAACTTCTTCGGTCATTTCATCTCAGTAAAAAATTTTAGTTTTGGTTTGTTTTCAACTGGTTGTTGTTTAAGGTTTTTTAAGTCGGTCTAAAACTTCCTGAGGTATAGGAAGAACTTGACAAACACGTGTTGTGTAACTGCTGGAAGTCGACAAATCCATCTTGAACCCATTTGTCTCAATGCTGTATTGTTCATTTCATCTCAGTAAAAAACTTTACATTCCCCACGTTTGAGGCGGTTGAGGTTGGTTATTGTTTACCCATTGTTGTGCATGGTTATATCCTCTGTTAAAGAATCTTTCACCTTGGTCCATATAGTGCCCTGCTTGGTTATAGTAGTCATTTGCTTTGTTATAGTAGTTTCCTGCTTGTCTTCCTACATTGTCCATCCATCCTTGAACTTTTCCTCTTGTTTCAGGATTTGGAATAAGATTTGTTGCATCTCGTGCTACATCCCAACCTTTCTGTACAGTTTGTATAATAGGTTGTGCTTTCTCTTTCAGTATACCTAATGTACTCAAAATCTTCCTTCCAATTCCAAATGCACCTCTGGCTATTGTTCCCACTGCGGGCAAAAATCTGGATGCAACTCCTGCTAATGCGCCAAATAAACCCATTTCTTATGGGGTAAAAATGACGAATCCAAACAAGGACCCGTATGTTTCTAAAGCAACAAAGAAAGCACTCATGGTAAAAATCTTTAGTTCAACACCAAATGCTTGGTTTATGGATATCTTGGAAAACATTCCGAGAGTTAGAACAGATGGACCACCATACTGGTTAATATTTGTCGGTCAAAACACAAGATACTGTGAAGCCATACCATTACAGTCCAAAAATATTTTAGATGTGAAAACTGCTTTGACAATATTCGTTGACAAATACCATCCAACAAAACTGACATCTGACTGTGAAAGTTCTTTCAAATCAGACGATATTAAAAACTATCTGCGTTCAAAAAATGTAAACCAATATTTCATTGTCGACCAAAACCATTCTGCTCTTGGTGTCATTGACAGTTGTATAAAAATCTTAAGAGACTTAAACCAACCACAAGGTGGTGAGGTAGATGAAATGTCATATGACGACAAGTATAGACACTTCTCCATGGCAAAGATGAGACAAGTTTTAAATATTTACAATACCCGTAAACAAAAAGGTTTGGGAAACCACTCCCTGAAGAAATGAAAAACAACCCGACTTAGAGAAAGACTATATATTTAATAGTTTAGTCAAAAGAGACAAACAAGAAAGAATGCCAGGCTTCAAACTTAAGAAAGGTGACAAAGTAAAAATAGAAATACCTAAACGCGACCCATATGAAAATACTATTGACTATGACAACAATGGGAACTCGACAGGTACTCGCATTCGTGTTCGTAAAAATAGAAGAAAGTATACAAGAGAATATTATGAAGTTTTAGGCAAACATGGCAAAATGTACACACTGCAAGCAGAAGATAAAACTACTATTGTCAGACCTCGTTTCAAACTTGTCAAAGTTCAAGGTGGTATACTTTCAAAGACAGTTCCTAACAAATATAAGACAACTCCTGACGAATATGCTAAAGAAGTTGAAAATGACGACTAAGCAATTCTATACCATGCGTAAACTGTCATGTAAGGTGGCATGTAGTCTTTACTTTGTCCCGTTGTTTGTGTATACCCTGAAACGCGATGTGTATGGTTTCCTTCTCCCTGTGTGCTACCCCAGAAACAATTTATAGCAAACTGAACGTCGTCTTTAACATCATATCCTTTACCTTTTTTCATTGCTGACCAATCCCAAAATCTATGCTTATGCCAACCTGCTTCAGATGTACTTAAATCTATGTAGTGACTGTGCGCAGGTAAATTTGCACCTGAAATCGTTTTACTTCCACCTGTTTCCTTTGAAGAGTTTGCACAATACAAAAACCTGTCGACTATTTGAGTCCAAGTTCCAAACCAAGTACTACTTCTGGTTTGGTAGAGTTCATTGACGTGTAAATAGAACCTATAGGATATACTGTTTGAAGTATTTCTGTCTTTAACGTTTGAAGCTCTGTTTTGTCAGCTTTTTTATCATATAAATCTTGAGCAGTGAATTTAACATTGTTTTCATCCTCCATGACATAGACATTTCTACATCTAGTGTATTTCATCGTTGTTATGTCATCCTCCGATGTTAAACCTTGTGGAAAGTTAGGAGGTTTCCAATTTAATACATCCCCACCAGTTTCTTCAACCGTTCCTTCAATATTTTCTATACCAACAGTTGCGAAGAAATCGTGTGTATGGTTCTTATCTGCCTTCTTTTCAAGGCTAACGTTTAAGTCTGTTATTTCAGAAGATGTATGTGTATGTCCAACGTCACTTTTCCTGTTTAAGGTTTCTTGTAAGTTTGTAATATTTGCAATGGTATGTGTATGTCCAACGTCACTTTTCCTGTTTAAGGTTTCTTGTAAGTTTGTAATATTTGCAATGGTATGTGTATGTCCAACGTCACTTTTCCTGTTTAAGGTTTCTTGTAAGTTTGTAATATTTGCAATGGTATGTGTATGAGTCTTTTTAGAATATTCTTTGTCAGCTCTTGTCACTTCACTTGACATTTTATTGTCAACATATGTTTTGTCCGCTAGTTCAGGATGAGTATGTTCTTTCGTTGCATATGTTGCATCTGCTCTGTCATGTTCTTCTTGAACTTTTTCAATGACATACTCTTTGTCAGCTTTGTTGTCAACATCTGCTTTCAAAAGAAGTTCTTTTATAGGCTTCTCGTTTAAAGTTCCTTTTGTTGGATTTACACAAACAGTATGGTTCTTACTGTCTTGAAACAGAAACTCGTCTGTCAATGGGTTTATCGTCAGTTTTAAGTTTCCTTCTTTCAATGACTCAGATATCTTAGAATAGTTTGAAAAGTTTGTTGTGTTCTTATTTAGAGCTTGCAAAATGAGTTGTCGGTTGTGTTGTATTTCTCTCATAGACGCTGTTTCTTTCGACATTTTTATTCTAGATAAAATATGCTTTCAATAGAAAAAGAAAATTCTAGAGTTGCTACAACTAAACCATTAGATGAACTTTTTACGAATGTCGGTCAAAAGTTTGAGACAGAGACCGTAAAGCATGAAGGCTATCGTTTTGACTACCCGTTAAGATGGCTAAGAGACCCATCCGTCACAAAAGCTATTGGCTTTCGTAGAATGAAATTCATTTCAGAAGCCATACATGGTTTCCCATTTACGGTCGCTTTTGAAATTCGATACTATAACAAAGAGAAACGTACGTATGAGAAATTTGAACAGGGAAAACTTTTACAAGTTAGTTTGCTTGTAAACTTAGAAAACAACTCTTCAAGCTTTTCAAGAAAAAATAAACGATATCTATCTCGAATATGCAAAACAGTACAACATTGACGAAGGAGAGTACCATCTCGATATTTTATATGACAGGAAAAATGCAACTGTTAAAATCGATAGAATAGAAGACCTTGGAGAAGACGTTTATATTTCTACAAAATATAACAACTTGGCATGGTTATAGATTTTTGAGGATGTTAAATCAGCCTGCAGAATATCCAGTACACCCGAACTTTTATGAAGTCGAAAACCCTAATGGAACATATGAAAATGTTTTCGACTCAGATGCTATTATAGTTCATGCTTCATTTT